TCTCTCTCTCTCTCTCTCTCTCTCTCTCTCTCTCCTTCTCCTCTTCCTGTCGCCTTACAGCTCCGTCTTGCCTCTCATTGCCGCGCTCCATCCATTAGTCCAGCTCGGCAGTGCACGCCACGCTCTCCCGTTGGCAGACAGCGAGCGACGCATCCACCAAGCGCCGCCTCCCACAGCCAGAGTGGCGACGAGCCAGTTCAGCCATCCCTCTCGCATGCCGCTCCAGCTGAGCAGTGCGCCTGCGCCCTCGCCGCCTCCGGGCACGGCGCCGCGCGGGTCGAGGGCAATGCGGCAGACGATGGCGGCAAAGTCTGCCATCTCGCCATTGCGCACCGAAATGTTGAGCGGGCCTGCGCCGAGACCGGGAATCTTGAGGCCCAGCTTGGCGCAGTACGCGTCCGGCTGCACCTCGTGTCGCTGCTGCGCCAGGTCCAGGTCCGCCTTTGTGCCGACGAAGAGACTGGCTTGCGAGGACAAGTGCGGATATTGTTGCCGCAGATTCGAGACGTACGAGAAGCTGTTGGTGTCCGAAGAGTCGTACACGTAGATGATGACGTCGGCGCACGCCACCTTGGCACTGTGCCGCAGCGCCTCGGCCTCGAAGCGGGAGCCGAACTCTTGCAGCTGGCGCGCGCGAAGAACGGTCAGCGAGGGGTGGACCTCGATCGCAGCGCTGAAGGGCAGAAAACCCAACTCACCACGAGATACTTCTCTGCACCGCCCTGCTCCACTGCTGCCACCACCGCTCTCGGTCCGGGTGTGGGCTTGTAGCGCTCCTCCCATTCCTCGCCCACCATATGCTGCAGGATCGCGCTCTTGCCGCTCCCCGCTGCGCCGACGACGTACGCGAGCAGCACGCTGCGATTCTGCGCCGCGCCCCTGCCCTTCTTTGCACGTTCGCGGCGCGGGCGCGTCAGCTGGAGCGCCGAAGTCGTGCTTGGTGCGCGTGGGACGTGTGGTGTTGAAGAGGATGCGCTAGACGAGGAAGCGGGCGTCGAGGAGGAGTTGGAGGGAGTAAAGGAAGGATAGCCGAGATACGCCAGCATCGCAAGTGTAGTCTGCGGCTCAAGGAGCGTAGTCATGCTCCACTGCGCCAGCCATCCTTGCAGCGTTACTCGCCCAGCTTCATCCGTGACGGTCGTAGCATGCGGGAAGTCTGGGCCCCATGGATGAGCGCCAGCAGGAGCGCGAGGAGTTTCGGGGACGGTAGAGAAGAGAGCTGCGAGTTCTCGCGGCGACAAGGCGCCATCGTGGTCCTTGTCGTGCGCCTCGAAGACGTCGGTGAGAAACTGATAGCCGTGCGGAGAGAGTTCGACTGAGCAGTCTGCGGGTACGGGAAAGGCAGGCGAGACGAAGGAGGCATCGAGAGTCAAGTCACTGCCATAGCCGAAGGTACGAAGCACGGTCCACGTTGTCTCGAGTCTGCCTCGTTGAATGAAGAGCGTGTGGAGATAGAGAAAGCCGGAGAGCGTCAGCGAGCCATCGCGCAGATGCGGGTGCGAGCGCTGCCGAGGCGTCTCAGTGCCTGCGTCTGAGACGGAGCCGGTCGCTGAGAGGTCGTCGTAAGGAAAGGGGGCGCCAGCGACCGGGGCGCTTCGCACGAGATCCTTGATGCCTTCCAGCTCGCTGCTCTGCAACGGCGCATCGAAGCACTTGCGTTGGAAGTCGTTCAGCTCCGCATCGCTCAGCAGCCCGTCCTTGTCCGCATCGCACAGACGAAAGATTCTCCGCAGTGCAGCGACGCACGCCGGTTTGAGGGCGTGTGCTCTCGAGTCGTACAGCGGAGCAGTAGGGTAGAGGACTGCCTTTTGCGCAAAGTAAAAGACTTCACTGACGTTGAGTGGCAGCTTGGCAGAGCACTCGACGCACGTCTCGACTTCCTTGAACTCGCTCATGACCGGCGCGAGTTCGGCCTCGAGTGCCGAGTGCGGCGAGGGCCCACTGCGCAGGTCGATTTGATTGCCGACGAGAATGACGGGCACGTTGATGCCCAAGGAGCGGATGAGCGGCAGCCAGTACGTCGGCAAGCGGTCGAAGGACGAGGGCTGGGCGATCGAGTAGACGAGACAGATGACGGAGGCGCGACGCAGCTCCGTCTCGAGATGCAAGCGATGCTCCGACGTGGCTGGGCGGCGCGCTGGGGTCAGAAGTGGCCGCCAGCGGTGCGAGCCATGCAGCCGGACGCAAGTGCCAGGGCAAGAGCAAGAGAGCGCAGCCAGCGCTGTGAGCGTGGTGGAGCACTGAGCAGCATCCAGTGCCCCACGGCAGCCAGTCGGGCAGCGAGGCCACAGCACGAAGCCGCGCCCCTCGCACTGCAGTCGTGCCTCGGCGCAGCGAGCGTGTCGGGAGCGCACTCAGCCGCATGCCCGCACCCTTCTTTATGATCCACAGCCCTGTCTGAGCACCCGCTGCGCTGCCCTTTGCAACTCACCGACGGTGTCGACGATCTTGGTGCACACGCCCTCGGGGCACACGTGCGCCGGCAGGGTGATCTCGGGGATGCGGCGCTGCACGTCGTCGACGTACGCCTCCTTGATGAGGCTCGTGAGCAGCGTGCTCTTGCCCACGCCCGCGTCGCCGGCGAGGACGATGCGCACGTCGGAGCGCATCCTGAGAGATCGGTGTGGGGGTGTGAGAGAAGGGCGCGTGCAGCAAGAAGCGGCTCGAGGTCGAAGTCGGGGCTGCCGCGCGCGCGGCAGCGCTGTGCTGCGCCTCTGGCGGCGGCGCTGCTCGGCCGACGCGCGCGCTGGCGGGGATGCGGCGGTGCCAAAAGTCTGAGGGCGGCGCGGCGTTGCTCGCCCGTCTTGCTCCCCACCACCACGCCCGTCCTCCTCCCTCAGCATGGCGCAAGGCTTCAAGCCCACCAAGGTCTCCAAGGCACCCAAGGCACGCAGCGGCAAGGCCACGCCCACCGGGCCCAAGCGCGGGCCAAAGGTCATCCCGCCGAAGAAGACGGCGGCCGTCAAGCATGCGGGCCATGTGCGGGTGAGTGGCGCGCGCGCTTAGCAGAGCAAAGGGGGGTGGGGGTGGGGGTGGCGGCGCGGAGGACAGAGAAGAGAAGGTTCGAGGTGGTCAGGGAGAGAGAGAGAGAGGTTGGGTTCAGAAGATGTGGACAGATGGGCAGGCGCGACAAGGAGCAGCAGGGCGCAGCCGAGCGTCAGCTTTGTCTCCGTCCACAGTGGCGGCAAGCGGCCAGCCTGCCCAGTGGCGTCTGCACAGCGGGCCAGCGTTGCCCTCCTTCTTGCATCTCTCTCCCGCGCCCATGTCCTCTTCCTCCTTGCCACTAACTCTCTCTCTTGCCTTGCGCAGAAGCAAACGGCCTCGCTCACTTCGCGCATCGAGACGGAAATGGCAGGGCGCGCGTCGCGCGGCGGACCGTTGACGATCATGAAGGGCGCCGCCGATGGCGCGGCAAAGGAGCGCGCAGAGGCCGAGAAGAAGAGGAAGGAGAAGGCGGCCAAGCCCTAGAGGCTGCGAGTAGGAAGAGGGAGTGTCTGTGGGGGCGGCGCACTGCGCAAGCGGGCGAGAGGAGGGGCGAGAGTAGGCGCGTGCCAGGGCGAGTTCAGGGGGCCTGCGAAGGGCAGTTGTCACGTGTTTTTTCATCCATCGGTGTGTTTAATAGAGGCTCCTCTTTCTTTTGCTGTGCGAGAGACGCGATGTGCTGCAGGAGATGTGTGTGTGTGTGCGGATGGGATGTGGGAGGACGCGAGAGGAGGGTGGGGGTGCGAAGGAGCGCATGGGTGATTAGATGTGAGCTGAGAAATTGGTAAGTGCGAGCGAGGCGAGGGGAGATGAGGATGCTAAAATAAGGCAGTGATGCGCGATGGCAGGGCGTCCAGACGACAGAGGTGAGGGATAGTTACAGTAGAGAGCAGGCAAGGAGAGAGGAACGCCGTGCAAGGTGGAGGCAAGACAAGGCGCACGAGGCCCAAAGCGCCTCGCAACAATCGCTACTGCTTCTCCTTCGCCGACTCGGCAGACTTTTGGCTGCGTTCCTTGCGTCCTTCAAAGTACTGCACGGAGGCGCGGGGGGGTAACCTCTGACCACTTCGCCCAGGCCGTGTTGTGCCAAGACTCACCTTGCCAATCTTGGCGCCCACGTACTTGAGCGTCCTCGTCAGGCCGGCCGTGTACACGCCCTTAATGCTCTGCCCCCACGCCGGGCCTCTGACCGTCTCTGCGATCTTGCCCAGCAGGACACTGTCGAAGTCCGTCTGCGCCACGGCCGCCTTCCAGAACTTGTCCATCGCCTCCGGATCCTGCTTGGCCGCCTGCGCGCCCGGTCGACGCGCGACATTGTCGGAGCGCGAAGAGAGGGACAGGGCGAGAAACGCGGCGTCGGAGCCGGGATGGGAGGTGTAGTGCGCTTGCAGCTTGGAACGCAGACGTAGCGGCAGCTTGGCGGCGTACGAGGCGCGCGTCGAGATGGATGTGTCTTGCTAGAAGACCAAGCAGAAAAGATGAGCGGATGCGGAGCCAGGCGATGAGAAAAGAAGAGGGCAAACTTACAGTCATGGCATACCGATCCGTCCTTCGCTCCACAATCTGCACCGTGCCCAAGCTCCTCAGCAGGCCAGCGTAGAGTCTTCTGAACTGCTCTCGCTGGCCCAAGACGATGTTTCTGACCTTGTCGGCATTTTCGCCGCCGGGCACTCGCATGCGAAAGTCTCCCACATACGACAGGCTGGCGATGCGCGTGTACAGCTCCACCTCGGTGAAGCGCTCTGGCAGCAGAAGCAGCGCCACGCGCAGCGCAGAGGTGAGGTTGACCTGTTGTGCGAGGCGCACGCGCGCGTCGGACTGCATCATGGCGACGGGCTTGTGCATGCGCCCCGAGACGTAGAGTGTCTCCCAGTCGAGCAGGTCCGTGCAGAGATCGTCCACCGAAATGACGCCGTACTTGACGAGCTAGTGAGGACAGAGGCCGTCAGCGCGCCCCTTCCCGGCTGAGTGGAGCAGCCATGGGAGGCTGCGTCGGCCCAGGCTGCGTGCCGGCAGGCACGCGGCGGACCCACAAGCATCGAAGCACAAGCGGGTAGGCAGCGTTCCCTTGCTGTGCCCGTGGCAGTACTTCTCCTCGAGCCAATGCACAGCAGTCCGGCGACGGCGCAGAAGCTCCTCGAGGCGCTGCACTGCTGAGCCCTATGTCTTCGCCGTCATGCTCCCAGCCCAGCTCCTGCCACTTGACTGCGTATCTTCCGTTCTCCTTCCATTCCACATCCCACACGCCTGTCATCGCAAACTCACCTCATCTCCCACCTTGACATACGGATTGTACCAAAGCCCCGCGCCCATTTTCTGCACTCTCGCCATCATGCCGCTGCCCAACAGGCGTGCCACTCTACTATAATGGCTCGGATGCTGGGCCATATTGACGGCATGCCAATGTTCCGGGTGCGCCACGGCCATGACAATGTCGACCATCTTGCCCTTTGGTCCTTCAGGCCGGCGCGAGTGCTCGGGCCCCGCATGCTGCGCAAAGACGCCGGAGCCATATGCGAAGGCGAAGCGCAGCGGCGCACGGAAGGAGTCGTGCAGCAGCTTGAGACGCTCGACGACGGAAGAGGGCAGCGGCACGAGCTGGTTCTCGCCAAAGGCGGCGGGAAAGGAGGGCGGTGGAAACTTGGCGTCGGTGCCATTGCTGCCGTTGGCCGAGGTGGGCGGCAAGTTGAGCGCTCGCGCGGGAGAAGTGCGCAGGGAACGGCGAGGGAGATGAGGGGCCCAGCTGCATGGCAGAAGCAGCTGTGCCTCGACGCATGATGGCGACGCACGCCACAGCAGCGCCCGCCGCAGTGTATGTGTGTGAGGTGGCAGCCTGATGGCCTGTTGGCGAGACGAGCGGTGAGAAGAGCGCAGGCAGGCAGAGGGCGCGACACTCACGCTCATGGCGGGCCTTGTTGCGCAAAGCGACACAGCAGCACGGCGAAGGCGGTGTGCGATGGCAGCGCGGATTAAGGCGTGTGCTGGCGCTGACAGAGGGGATGGGAGGGGTGGAGGAAGGCAGGCAGCAGTCGAGCAGAGTGCAGAGTGTGGAGAAAGGCTCAGGGCTCAGCTCAGCGGGCCGCTCTCTCCTCTCCTGCATGCGGAGCGAGCGGCCTCCACTCGGTGCGTCACGTGCAAGTCTTCGTGACCGGCGGCGGCGACTCGGGCGGGCGCGGCGGCCAAGGCGGGCAAGCAACAGCCGGCCGGGCACTTGCAGTGCGGGGAAGGCGCCTCCACATCTCCGCCTCTCCCGGCTCTCTCCTCTCTGCCACTCCGTCGTGCCCACCAACACCCGCCGCCATGTCGCCCACGCGCCTCATCCGCTTCATCGCCGTCGAAGACTCGCGCACCTACGTCGGCGCACCCATCCTGCCGCCCGATCTCGACGTGGCGCAGTACGTCGCCGCCTCGGATCGCTCGCCCCTCACCGCGCGCGTGCTGCCCAGCGACAACATCCTCGACGCCTCGCTCGCACCCACCGACCAGCTGCGCACCGTCGCCAGGCTGCTGCCCATCCTGCCGCCCGCGCGCATTCCCTCCATCCGCGCCCTCGGCGCCAACTACGTGCAGCCGGGCCAGGAGGCGCGCGAGGCAAGGGCCAAGCGTCCCGCGCTGCCCATTCTCTTCTTCAAGCCGCCGCAGTCGTGCGTCGTCGGCCACGGCGATGCCATCGTCGTGCCAAAGGAGATGGAACATGAGACGGACTACGAGGTGGAGCTCGTCGTCGTGATCGGCAGGGACTGCAAGGACGTGCAGGTGCACGAGGCGCTCAGCTATGTGCGCGGATACGCCCTCGGCAACGACGTGAGCGCGAGGAAGAGAATGTTTGCCGTGCCGCAGTGGGGCCTGGGTGAGTTCGTTGGATGCTTGTGAAGGAGAGAAAAGGCGTGGGATGGTTTTTTCGTCAGAGAGAGAATTGAGCAGGGCAGTCAGCGGAGAGAAAAGTCAAGCGGGACGCGGCGTTCGCAATCGGACTCTCTCTCCTCTTCTGACGTCGCACTGAACGCCTGCCTTCGCAACCCTCATCGTCTGCTGCAGGCAAAGGAGCGGACACGTACTTCCCTCTCTCCTCTACTCTTCTCCTCGCCTCCTCCTCGGTCGATCCCGAGAGCATTGCGCTGCAGACGCGCCTCAACGGCCAGCTGATGCAGGACGGCAATACACGCGACCACCTGTGGGGCGTGGCCGAGACGATTGCAAAGCTGAGCGAGGGCACGACGCTGCATGCTGGCACGCTGATTAGTATGGGAACACCGCCTGGCGAGGGCTTCAAGAGAGATCCTCAGGTGTTTCTGAAACACGGCGATGTCGTAACCATCTCCGGCTGTGAGTTCGCGCCTGCTGCTGCTGCTGCTGCTGCTGCTGCTGCTGGAGATGCGGAGTGAGAAGGCCAGAGGTGGGCTGACGCACTACCCAAAAACGCACCACACACAACAGCGCACGGTCTTGGATCCCTCACGAACCCAGTGGTGCAAGTGACGAAACTGCAGGTGCCAGGCAAGGCCAAGCTCTGAGGATCGTGATCAGTACGAGGCACGCGGAAAGAGAGGACTTGGCTCCGCCTTGTGCGCAACCTGGGCATGCCCCGTCCCGCTTCACCTATGCGCCTGTGTGTCGCTCGGCTCCTCCCCTCCTCCCTGCCTCCTTCCTCGCTCCGCGCGTCCTCTCTCGCCTACTCTCACGCCTAACTCTTGCGTCCCGCCCCCCCCCCCCCCCCCCCCCCCCCCCCCCCCCCGCCGCGTCTGCGCTTCCTGTTTGCTTCTGTCTTGCTCTCGCTCTATTGCCCAAGCGTCGTCAGCGCTCGCTATCTCCAATAGCGATGCTGCATGCTGTCTGCTCCTTTGACCGAGCGCCGTCGAGAAAGATGAGCTCCGTCCGATGAGTCTTTTCTCGCCTCCGTCACTCGTTGCCCCCTCCTTACGCTACGACGGCGTGGCTCTGCACACCCAGAGCTGCCTTCGTTCTTGCCACGCTCGACGGGGACTGCAAGCTATGCCGATTTTGGGTTGCTACGTCGCACAGGAGAGGAGAGGCGGAGAGGATTCCGATGCAATCTGCGCACTGCTACCTAGTTGCCCTTTCCCTTTGCCTCGTTTCCCAGCAGCGTCGTCCTCTCATCCAGCTCCTCGTCGCCAAATACTCTCCTCGCGTTGTCCAGTATCGGGTGCTGCTGCTGCTGCTTCTTTGCCTCTGCCGCTGCCGCGCCCGCAGCTTGTGCCTCGGCATCCGGCTGTTCCGCGATCGCTTCGTCGAGCAGGGGAAGCGAGGCCGCTGCGGCTGCGGCCGCCGCACCCGGCGGAGGCGCCTCTCCGAGCTGCGCATGCACGGCACGCGGCGATTGCGTGACGCTTGCGGGTGCCGGAGGAGGCGGCACCAGAGTGCTGGTGCTGCTCTCCGAGGCGTCCGAGACGCTGCCAGGAGCGACAGTGAGGTTGGAGGAAGAAGCGTCGGGGTGGGACCAGGTCTGAGTGCGCGGGAACGTCTTGCCGCTGCCGCCGTCCTTGCGTTCCGGCTCGTTTGACATGCGCCGAGATGGAATGACGGCGCCGCCAGGGAGCACTACGCCGCCGCTTGCCGGGCCGTTGGCGTTGCGAGGCGACCCCCAGCCTCTCATGCCGCCGTCCGTGCTGTAGCTGGCCTGGCTCGCCGTGGTAGACATGGGCGAGCCCGGCCGCTTGATCGCCACCTTGTCGCTAGCCTTGCCGCCCGTGGCACCCACACTCGTGCCGAGCGCGCCGTACGACTTGAGCGGCGTGCTGCGCTTCATCATGCCCGACTTGCGACGGCGCTCGATGATGCCTTGCACTAGGCCCGCGTAGTTTGCAGACGTGCCTTGTTGAGGACGATTGCGGACGACTTTGATCTTGTTGTGCACATCGACAAAGACGTCCGTCTCGTCGATGATCTCTTCGCCAATCACTTCTTCGATGACGTCTGCCGCGGGAGGTGGGGGTTCAGCTCGCGGCAGACGAATCGACGAGCAGACAGACTCACCTTCGAGCGTGACGATGCCCATCGCTCCCTTTGGCTCTCCCGGACTCTTCGAGACGAGAATCATGTGGCTTCGTCCTTGTTCTGCGCACAGCCAAAATCGCCCATGTCAGTTCTCATCATCTTGCCATCTTTCGCTGTTCTGCTGCCCTTGCGGCCCAGCAACCATTGCAGCGTACGCACGGAAGTAGTTGAGCGTGTCAAGCAGCGTCAGGTCCGGGTTCGTCTCGGGCAGAGGCGTGAGCTGGAACCAAGAAGCAGGCATCGCATCTTCCGGGTCGTAGGTGATTAGACGCTTGACGCTGCGGGAAGCGATGAGAGCGAGGCGAGGGCAAAAGGGCGCAAAGCAGCGCGGCCAGACGAAGGAGGCCCAGAGTGCGCGAGGGCGAGTCGATGGAATAGTGGGAGAGCAAACATGGCGAGGTTCAGCGAACTTTTTGCGGCGAGCAGAGGGCTGAGAGAGAAGGGGAGTGGAGGAGATACGTACAGCAGCATGCCCAGAATTGCATCTGGCTTGCCCGGCTCATGCACTGGCACGCGCGAGTAGCCCGACTGGACGAGCTGTGGTTTCGATGCCACCCATCATTCGTCGTGTCAGCCTCAGTCCGGCGTGTAGCGGAGGGACACTCACGTGCTGGATGTTCTCCTCATTCATGATGGTGTCGGCACTCATAGTGTACACGTCCTCAATGGGCGTCATGACTGAAGCGACCGTCTTGCTGGCAACGAGCGACACAAGCGAAGGGGGCCGGGGCGTCAGCGTGCGCGATGGCGGAGCGGAAGGCAAAGGGGGGCATGGGAAGAAGGGCATACACACTCGTTGAGCTCGAGCACCGCACGGATGATCGTCACTTCATCCTCGTTGAGTCCGTCTGTGCCGATCTGTTGATGCAGGCTGACGAACGTCTTGAGTTCTGCCGCAGGGCGCGCGCATCAGCCAACCTCTCTCTGTCTCTCTCCCTCTCTGTTCTGCCCTCGCTCTGTCCAGCGCGACACGCTGCCACCTTCTCCCGCGCTTGCGTGTCTCTGTGTTTTCCTCTACTCACCAGCCTTGCGATAGGTGGTGCCGTGATCTTCTCCCAGGCACCAGTCGAGTAGCTTGGCAGTGGGCCACGCCACGGGCGCCATGACGAGCATGGTGATGTGCACGAGCGGCGCACAGTAGGCACCGATGGCCAAGCCGTGGCGCGCGCAGATGGACTGCGGCACGATTTCGCCAAAGATGACGATGAGGAACGTGGAGCTGGCGAGAAAGCGTGAGCATCAGCGGGAGAGAGCGCGGAGAGGCAAGAAGGGTGGGGCACGGAGGGAGAGGAGGCGAGACAGGGAGGGCGAAACAGGACGTACACGAGAACAGCTGCGGTGCCGCCAAAGTCGGAGAGGAAGATGGGCAGCGACTCGTTCACTGGCCGCAAGCGAAGCGCAGTGTGAGTCAGCTTAGAATGAGAGCGGAAGAGAGACTCGGCGCTGTCTCTCTTGGCGCAGGAGCGGCAGAAGAGGGCCGGAGCGTGCTAGGCTGCCGGCACAGCCAAACGTGCGCCTCGTGTTCGGAGGAAGCGCAGCGGTGTCCAGTCTGCTATGCCTCTCTCCACGACTCACCGACGACGTTGCCGAGCAGTAGCACGACGAGCACCCAGTGTCTGCCCTTTTCGAGGAGGCGCAGCACCTTGCCGGCATGCTTCTTCTCCGTCTCGCTGCCGCTGGTGCTCAGCACCTGCAGGTTGACCATGTCGAGGCCCATGAGGCCGAGCGTCAGGCCGGCAAAGACGCCGCCGAGCAGCACGAGGGCAATGATGCTGGCGACATCGACAAAGAGCTGCAGGGGAGTGCGCGGCCCCTCGTCGGAGTGCGACGAGTGCAGGGCGATGAAGGGCGTCAGGGCGGGAAGGGGAGAGGCGGCGGAGAGAGAGGAGAGGCCGAGCAGCAGCAGCTTGCCGAGCGAGCGGGAAAGGCCACGACGCGCAGGCGACAGGGATGCCATCTTGGCGATGGAGGATGGGGTGTGGAGGGAAGGAGAGGGAGACGGCAAGCGGTCGAGCCCTAGAGCTTGTCCCTGCGAGCGAAAGCGGCTTCCAAAGGTGGAGCAAGGCAGCGCGGCACAGCAGGCAGCGGCACCGGCGCCGCACGTCCGCCGCGGCAGCTGTGGCTTCGCTCTTGCTGCCGGCCTGCCTTGCTCGCTGACGGCACGTTCACGCTTCGCCGTGCGCGCGGGTGCCGCACGCCTTACGTAAGCATCGCCTCCCTCTCCCGCGCTCCTCTGGCGCTCGCCGCGCGGCCGCCGCCTCCCTCTCCTCCCTTCAGCACTGCCCACCACTCGCTCACCTCGCCATGAGTGCCGCTCGCGCCAGCAGCAGCAGCAGCAGCAGCAGTCTACTGCGGGCATTCCGTCCGCTCTCCCTCCGTGCGCCCCGCCGCACTCTCGCCTCGGCCGCCACGCTCTCGCCCAACGCCGCCGCCTCGGCCGACGCTCCCGCCGCCGCCGCCGCCTCGCCTCTGGCACCGCCCACGCCCGTCGCCGGCGATGCGTGGCATCCCACGGCTCGGCGTGTGGGCCTCATTGCCTGGAAGCGCGGCATGACGTCCTACTTTCTCCCCAACGGCACGCGTCTGCCCGCCACGCTGCTGCAGCTCGCACACTGCCAGGTGTCGGCGCACATCGGCTTCGCGCCTGATTCCGCCGCAGCAGGCGCAGAGGCAGCCGTCAAGGCAAAGACACGCACCGGAGAGCCGTACCATGCACTGCAGATTGCCGCCGTCGATGCGCGCTCCAAGCGCGGCGTCAGCGCCCAGGTGCGCGGACATTTGCAGAAGGCAGGCGTGGGCGCAAAGAAGGTGATCCGCGAGTTCCGCGTCAGCAAGGATGCCATTGTTCCGCTCGGTATGTTTGCGCTCCCTCTGTGCCCCTTCTCATCCGCTCATATTCTGCGACTTCGCGCCCCAGGCACCGAGTTGTCGGTGCACCACTTCGTTCCCGGGCAGCACGTCGATGTGCGAGCCATCACGCGCGGCAAGGGCTTCCAGGGCGGCATGAAGCGCCACGGCTTCAAGGGTCTGCGCGCAAGCCACGGCGTGTCCATCTCGCATCGCAGCTTGGGCTCCACGGGCCAGCATCAGGATCCGGGACGCGTGTTTCCCGGCAAGAAGTGAGTTGCCCGTCCTGCCGCTGCTGCTGAGAGGAGCGCGGCGGCATGGGTCATGCACGACAGACGAAGGTGGGGGGGGGAGACGAGTCCGGTCTGGCTACGAGGCAGGCCGCTGTGCAAGTAGCCACGAGCAAAAGGCTGACTTCTTTCTTTCCCCTCGCGCTCCACAGGATGGCCGGTCGAATGGGCGGCACGGCGCACCGCACGGTGCAGAATCTGCGCGTGCTGCGCATCGACGAGCGAGACTCTACGCTCCTCGTCTCCGGCGCCGTGCCGGGCCCCGAGGGCGGCATCCTCACGCTCGTCGATGCGAAAAAGGCCCTCGTGGGCGCGGCGGCCAATGCGTGGGCAAAGGGAAAGACGCTGAGTGGCGAGCTGGCGACGGGAAAGGAGGCGATGGACGTGTACCTCAAGAACGGCTTGACACAGTTGCCCTTTCCCGCCGCGACCAAGGAGATGGTCAAGGGATGGCCAAAGGTCGTAGAGGTGGGAGAGCTGCAATAGATGCGACAACGACGTAGGCGCGTTGTTGCGCGTGCGTGAGAAAGCTGCGCGTGTGAGCATGACGGAAGAGGAAAAGGATGCAAGCGTGAGGGACAACGGAGGCTCGCAGAGAGCGAGAGCGAAGTCGTAACAGGCAGGCGGGGAACGAGAAGAGGTAGGGAAAGAACGGTAGCGCAATCCGAGGGGGGGCACACACAAGGGAGTGAAGATCTCTCGGTCCAGCCTCTCCGGGACGAAATCGTTCACCAGAGCTTTGGCACCGGCTTCTGCTCCGCGGCGCCCAAAGCCTCTCCTAGTGTCTCTGCGGGCGCTCCTCTGCACAGACTAGGCGGGAATGGCTCTGAGATGCATCAGGACCTGTCGGGCTGCTTCTTCTTGCTGCCCGCCGAGTATGGTGGCAACAGGCGCGGGCCTGTGTGCACAGGCATCATCTCATGCGGCCAGGGCGCCCCGCGGCGCGCGCCGCGCATGTTTGCTAAGGAGAGAAGGAAGGCGCCCGCGCGGCGCGGCGCGCAGCCATCTTACCCCGCACTCGCTGGCGCCTCCCTCCCACCACGACCATCCCTTTCACATCGCGCTTGTCAACCGGTTCGACGTGCTGTCAGACTTGCTCATCTTGACGCTGTTGCTGCGCTGCTCTGCGTGGCGGCCGTGGCGGCATCGGGTCCAGCAGCAGGGCAAGTCGTCGCGGCGCCTCACATCCGCACGCTCTTCACCCATGCCGGCCACGGGTCAGCTGCCGCTCGGCCGCGCACATGATGCCGCGCTGCGTGTGCCGTGCAGCGCAGACGACCCGGACCTCGGCGCATGGGAGGCACCGCGCCCCGAGGACGCACGCATGACGTGGGAGGACATCCAGCAGGTGCGTCGGCCACGATGGGCCTCTGAGCTACGCGGCGCTGAGCACGCGCGCAGATCTGCGCTGCCGGCGACCTCGACCACCTGCTCCGCGCCAAGGACCTCGAGGCACGCTACCTCGCGTGGGCGACGCGCATCCGGGCGCGCTGGGGCGGCGTCGAGGCGTACGTGCGCGGCGTGCGGCTCGGCTGGGCGAGCGACGACGTAGGCGTGCCGGCGCCGGCGCTGGGCGACGACCACTTCCGCGACACCGCCGACGAGGACCGCGTCAAGCGCCTGCCAAACGACTGGCCGTACGCGGTGCCGGCGGGCTGCGAGCACTGGGTGGTGTGGTGAGTGTGCTGCACGGGTCGCTTCTCACTGGCGCCTGACATCGGTCCAGGTCGCGCCTGCCCATCTACTCGCCCTCGCTCTTCCAGACGCCCGACTCGCCCTTCGCCGCGGGCGCAGCGCGCGAGGCGCTCTACGCAGCCGTCTCGCACGACGGCATCCGCGGCCTGACTGGCAGCGCTGCGAGCTCGTCGCCACGGGTCATCGGCCTCGCGACGCGCGAGTATCTCAGTGCGAGTCCTCTGGTGCAGACGGCGCCGCCGAGCGGCGCCTCGCCGCTGTTCAGTAGCGTTCCACTCCCGTCGACCGACCCAGCAGCGCCGACGCTCGCGCCTCCGACGCTCGAGTCCGCGACGGATCTCGCCGAGCGCGCCCACGCCTGGGCCGGCCGCTTCGTGCAGGCGTACGTGCGGCGCGTGTGGGACGAGGCGCAGTGGGAGACGGCGTGGTTCTGCAACCCGCCGCACCTGCGCACGGTGCCGGGCCTGAGCCACTTCCAGTGGGTGCGCTGCCGTGCGTGACGCTGCCGCTGCTGACCTCCCTCTGCAGCGTCATTGCGCGGCGCAAGAGCACGCACGCCGCAGCGCAGACCTGAGCTCAATCTTCGGCAATGGACGGCACATGGACCTGCACGGGGCAAATCGGCACACCGGGACTGACTTACTAATACACTCTGCCGTCCGATCTGAGTGGAGGGGGACACGTCGCATTGGTCGCATGAGGGGGCGTACAAGTACATTGGTGTGCGGAAGGGGCGGCCGCCGGGGCCTCACTGGATGCTCTCGCGCTGGGAGGAGGGCGATCAGCTGCAGCGCGTCACACGCTCTGCGACACACCACGAGACGCACCTCGATGATCGACTTTTGCTGGGCGTTGCGCGAGCAACTGCACGAGGAGGGTCAGCGTGGTGCAGACGAGGCCACTCCCAATGTGCCGCACCGCCAGTAGTACTCCAGACTGTCGCTCTGGCCCAGCATCGTGAGAAACTCTGCGCGCAGACAGTCAGCACGGGTCGCGCAGCGTCGGCGCCCGGCTCACCCTCGTCGTGCGTAATGACGATGAGCTGGAAGTTGCTCTGGTTGCGGCGCTCGCGGATGACGCTGTCGCAGCGTGTCAGCTGTGCGGCTGGCGCACGTCGAGCGTGCCCACGCCCGACTCACTCGTTCAAGCTCTTCGCGAGGGCCAAGATGTTCTCCTTGTCGAGATTGGTCGTCTGGCGCCACGACGAGTCAGCGTGGCAGAGGGAGTGGCAGAGCAGTGGCGACTCACCGGCTCATCCAGCGCGAGGATGCCGCAGTTCTCGCCGAATCTGGCGTTGGGGGGCGGTCAGCGCCGGCCTCTCTCCCTCCGCTGCACGCCACGCACGAGTCGGCGAGCGCGAGACTGCTCAGGGCATCCCGCGTCAGCATCGCTCCAGTCTCACGTTGCGCCAGCCGTGCCACTCACCGGATGATGATCGAAGCGAGGACCTTTGTGTGTCGACGTGAGCGTCGCGCCGGCGAAACTGTCCATCACACTCACCTTCTGCCCGGCGCTGCATCGCCCACGCATGTCCATCTCGACGGTGTCCTTGACCATGCAGACGCGGTAGTAGTATGAGCGGCCGGCCTGGAGAGGCGCGTGAGCAGAAGCCAGGTCGAGCACTCGCACCGCGCGCACCTTGTTGCCCTCGTTGTCCGAGCGAATCGAGATGGTGTCGATGTCTGCGCGAGGTCGTGAGTGCCGGCTCGGTGACCATGCCGCAGCCGCTCTCACCAGTGCCCTGATACGTGCGGCCCCAGAGGTAGCGGATCTGCGACAAGAGCTGTCAGCGTAGCCTCACATGCCCTCGACCTGCTCCACCCACCTGCTCGTTGATCTCCTCCATCTTGATCGCATGGTAGCGCATGATGGCACTGCGACGCGTCAGCAAGCACCATCTACGCCCGCGCCTCTTCGCACTAGCAGCACGCACTTGTCCAGCGCCTTGCCGTACAGCTCCAGGTCGCGGTTCGCCATCTCGCCCGTCTTAAACGCAATGAGCTTCGCCGTGTAGCGCTTCTCGACGTTCTTGTAGTCCTCCTTGAGCTCCTGCTCGCGCCCGGTGATCTGCGAGCGCAGCGAGCTGATCTCGCCGCCGAGATGCGCCGCCTGGGCAAAGTCGCACGCTGCCGTGAGCATGGTGTCGCCTCTCTGTGGCACTCACTCACCTCGCCATTCAGCTCATTCTCCTTCTTCTTCGACTGGTTGTACTTGGCGTTCCACGTCTTGCTCGCCTCCGACGCCTCGTCGAGATTCAGACCATCGTGCTCGGCCTGGATGCGCTGCACCTCGGCCTGCAGGTGGCGGTGGCGCAGATTGTCGTGGATGTTGCGCTCGGTCGCCTTGCTCTCGTTGAGGTCCTTCTCGATCTTGGCCGACTCGACCTCGACGGCGGTGATGCTCTTCTGCACCGTCTGCATCTGGCCCTGTAGGTCGGCGATGGCGTCCTCGCACTCGCGCAGCTTCTCGTTGCCGCGCTGGGCGACGTAGCGACCGGCCTGCTCGTTGAGGTCGCGCAGGTGCTTGACAAGCCCAGACATGCGTGACGTCTCTGCGTGCAGAGCCTGCTCCCGCGCCGTCTGATCGGCCTTGAGCGCGTCGAGAGCTTCCTTGGCGCGACGGATCGGCGGGCCCGCCTTGGCAATGTCGTCGTCGAGCGTCTGCGAGAGGGTCAGCGAGCGACCGCCATGAGCATGCTTGCAGCTACATGCTCAGGACTCACCTGCGCCGCCTTCTGGGCGTCGGCCAGCTCCGCCTTGAGCTCCTGCGCGCGCACGAGCAGCGCCTCGCGCTTGCCGTGCTCCTGGCGCTTCGCCGCGACGCTCATCTCGGCCTGGTGGATGTCGCGCTCGTACTGCTGCAGCTTCGTCTGCTGGTGCTCGCGCTGGCTCTGCAGATCGAGCAGCTCGCGCTTGGCACGTTTGCTGGTGCAGAACGTCAGCCGCAAGCGCAGAGCCCGTGCCCGCTCTGACTCACAGCTTGTCGGTGAGCGCGTCAATCTCTTGCTGCACGTCGCCGCTGGTCCGCATCGTGCCCGTGCTCAGGAGGTCGTTCTCGAGACCCTCGACGTCCCGAGACAGCGCGGTCGTCTCCTTGAGCAGCCGCGAGACGTCCGACGCGGCCTTCTTAAGACTGGCAATCTCGCGCAGCTCGGCGCGCAGAGCCTCGACGGCGGCAGACGACTGCAGCGCACGTCAGCACTCCGTCTGCCACACACACGTCCGTCACTCACTCGTTCAGCCGCCCCGGTGGCCGCGGCGAGCCTCTCTTCCTCCTTCTTGACCTTGCGCTCCTCTGCCGGCACGTCCGTCTGCCGCAGTGCGTCCAGCGTGGCTTGCTTGGGCACGAGGCCCTGGAACTCTGCGAGCTGCGCTTTCCAGTCCTGGAGCTCGCGCGCGCTCTCCTCCAGCGAGCTGGGCGTCGTCTTGCGGATCTGCGCCTCGATCTGCGATGCAGTGGTCAGCGCAGGGCCGAGCGGCAACCACGCTCGCGCGTACCCAGGTGGTGATGCCGGGCAGCTCCTCGTCGCTGATGCCGCGGTTGCAGGCGAGGCACGAGTGCCGCGTCTGCGCCGCGGTCTTGACACGCTTGAAGAACTCGGCCGCATGGCCGGCGCCACTGATCACTCTACGGGCGCCGACAGACGTCGATGAGCAGCGCACAGGACGCACGCGCGGCAGCGCTCACTCTGCAAGGTACTGCGACTCCCTCTCGCACTCGCGCACTGCCGTAGGCAGATCGGCAAACTCGCCGTCCGCCAAGGCTACGCGGATCTCCTGCTCGATGGCTGCGAGAGGCGGGTGAGCAAGTGCGCACACATGCCTGCGCCGGCACTCACCGTCGGCGCGAGCCTTCATGTCTCGCAGCGTGGCGCGCGCAAACGACAGGCTCGACTCGATGCGCTGTAGATCCTTGCTCGCCGCCGCGTCGCTGCGCTCCAGGCTGCTGAGCTCGCCTTCCTTGGACCTGCAGCGGAAGGCGTCAGTCCTGCACGCCACACACTCACGGCACACTCACGCCACAACGAGGTTGATGTCGTTCTCGAGGCGCAGAGCGACCGGCGCGCGGCCCGTGTGCTGCTCGATCGCAGCGCCGTGGCACTGCAGGCTGCACCGACAGTCAGCTGCGGCCGCCTCGCCGTCCCGCAGCGCACCCACAGGCTCTGGATCTCCTGCTCCTTGGCGCTGCGCTCCCCCTTCTTGACGTCGAGACGCGCACGAAAGTCGGCATGCCGGTTGAGGCTGTTCAGCTCGACGGTGAGGTCCTCGCGAGTCTGGTCCAGGTCGCGGATCTCCTTGTTCTTCTCGCGCATGCGCCCGTCGACGTCGGCGCGCGTGGTCTCTGCCTTGAGGGCACTCAGCTTGGCCTTTGCGTCATCCCAGTCCTTCGTGGCAGCCTCGACGTCTGCCGAGGTGACCGCAACGCCGTCGAGGTCGTCTTGCGCACGCATGATGCGGTCGCGGAGCTTGCGCTGTACACAGCAAACGTCAGGCAGCAAGCCGGAGACCTCCCGGGCTCGACTCACCATGGCGTCTCCCGCATTCTCGCGCTCCGTCTGCTTGGATCGCAGTTCGCTGCGCAGCTCCTGCCACTGGGCCGTCATCTCGGCGTCCTTCTTCGCTCCGTCACTCTGCAGAGAGAGGCGATCAGCAAGCAGCCGCACAGCCGAGCACGCACGAGCTCACCCTCAGCGCCTGGAGCTCGCTCGCGACGCGGCGCGCATTGTCGCCCACGCGCGTCTCGAAGTCGGCGATCTGCGCGTCGGAGAGGCCTCCCGTGTCGAAGCCCTTGATGCCGAGCTCGCCGCTCATGCTGCGAATCTCGGCCTCGCGCGCCTCGACTGCCTGGTGGTGGTGCTGGAGCGGCGCGCGGTCAGCCAGCAGCTCGCACCGTCGCGTCTGCCACTGCTCACCTTGCGGTCATTCTCCAGGCCGCCCTTCTCGCCGATCCTGCGGCCGCGCAGCGCCTCGAGACGTGCCACCTCGTCCTTCTTGTCCTCGATCTTGCGGTTGAGCTCTGCCTTGCGTCGGCGCTGCTGGTCGAGGTGCTCGCCGAAGCGCTCCTTGCGCTTCTGCAGCTCCGCCTCGGGCTCTGTTGCAGGCGCACAGGCCGGTCAGTTCGCGGCATGGCTCTGGCCCAGGCCCACCACAGCACAGGGGCGCACACGCACCGTCGATCGGCGTCATTGTCGAGCGCAACTCCTCCATGTTCTCCGTGAAGAGCTTGATCTTCTCCTCCATGGCCTCTGCACGCGCAACCGTCTCGCGGAACTGCACGGCCTTGTTGTAGAAGTCCTTGTTGTCGTTGGTCAGCTTCTCGATCGTCTCGTTGAGGTCGTCGAGGTGCGACTCCTTCTCCGCCAGGCTGCTCTCGAGACGGCGCTTCTTGTCCTTGATCTGCAACGGCAGGCAGTGTGTCAGCGCGGAGGCCCACACCCGGACGGCCGACGCACCGCATCAGCGCGCTCCTTGTCCGTCTTGAGCCCCTCGAGCTCGGCCCGCTGCACCTTGAGCTCGACGGCCTGCTCCTTGCGCAGCGACTTGATGTTGTCCAGCGCCTTTGTGTACCTGCCAGAGCGTCAGCGCAGCGCCCATGCGCACCCGGCCGCGACAACGCACCGCGTCGCCTCGAAGATGTCGTCAAACTTCTTCTTCAGCGTCGCCGGCTCGGAGAGCGGCCAGTTCGACTCCTCCTGGTGGCAGAAGATGACGTTGTCGAGGATCGCCTTGGACACGCCGAGCAGGCGCGGGATCTCCGTGTCGAGGTCCGCGCACTTGGTCGACAGCACGGTGCGCTGCGGGGCGGCCGTGAGCGGCACAGCGGCCGGGCGGTCGCAGCCGCGCTCACCTTGTTCTTCTTGTTCTCATCGTCGACCTGCAGCAGGCTCTCCAGCGTCTTCATCGTGAGGCCCGTCGTCTTCTTCTTCGAGACCTGCAGGTTGCGCACGCAGTTGATGCGCACGTGGTTCGTGTTGTAGAAGCGCAGGCGCACCTGCGCCTTGACCTCGTTGGTCGCGGCCATCTGGGGAGGGGTGTGAGCAGAGGCGGGGTGCGGCCGTGAGTTGCGAAGGCCCACGCACAGTCGGGTCGTGCACAAAGGCGCCGCCCTTGGTGTTGGGCGGCAGGTCGCCAGTCGTCGCATACTTGAGACACTCGATGATCGTCTGCGCATGCGGCATCAGCAATGCGGCCGTGTCAGCGGCGACACGCAGCACGCACCGTCTTGCCGCTGCCGTTGTAGCCGACGATGACGGTGAGCGGATTGTAGAACTGAATGATGTTGATGCCCTTGTCGTCGAAGGAGCGGATGCCACGAATGGCCAGCTCTGCGCGGGCGAGCAGCAGGCGTCAGCAACACGACGCACCGCTGCGCATCTGAGCCGGCGCACTGTCGAGCGACGCCATGCTGCCCTCGTGGGCGCGCGGGAAGCGCAGGAGAGTTCCGCACTCTCTAGCCCACGAGGTTCTGAGCGACGCAGCCTTGGGTTGTCAGGCGGGCGGGCTGAGAGGCGAGAAGGGGGGAATGATGTGGAGGGGAAGCAAGGCTGCGCGCGCGCACTTTACGCGTCCTGCGCCTCGCGCGCCGCGGCCGCCGCGGAGCCGTGTTGCTCACGCCTGCGCGCGCCTCGGTCTCGCGCGCAGATTCCTCAGCCAGGCGCGCCGGCTCGCCGCTTCGCCGCACCGCTGGGCTCATACACAGCTCACACATCGTCCTGCAACCTCGGCCACTGCACAAGCGCATGCGCTGTGCTCGCTCAGAGCGGCAACAGGCCCCACAGCCCACGCGACAGTCCGAACACGAGGCACCCGCCCCAGACGCTTGCGTCATGTTCCAGCGCACCTCGAGCGGCTGCTAACCGCCTCGGTAGCACGGCGCAGCCTGCTAACGCTCAGCTGCAGGCGCTCGAGGTCTCGATCTCTCCAGCAGGCGCATCATGGCTGTGGTGTGTCCGCCATGCCTTCCGCGGCGTTCTCATCGCCGTCACGCGCCGCATGCGCCAAATTGTGAGCGTGCGACGTCGAGCGCTGACCTGGCTCGAGACTGCGCCCTCCCTGCGCCTCGTCTCGCGACTTGCAGGTCGCAGCAAGGAAAGCCACGAGGCGGCTGTGTGAGCGGGCGCGGGCTCAAAACTCGTCGCCGCGCAGTAAATGGGCGTTTGCAGGCGCGCTTCTGCGGCGCGGTGGCGTTGCCTTTTCTGCCAGACTTTGCCGCCACTCTCCATTACTGCTCGCTGCGAGTCTCCGTGACACGGCTCACCACTTCCGATAGCGTGAGGAGGTCCTGCACAACGTCTCCTGTGGGACCCAGACTGCTCCAAGCTCATAGCGGCATTGGCAGACAGTCAGCGCCTGAGGGCAGCAACGAAGCGGGTTCTTGCCGCACTTCCCACCAGACCTGACGCGCACGGTTTCTTGCATCGATTGGCGTGCGCTGCGTGCTGCACAAGCTGAGACGCAGCGCGAGAGCGGCTGTGCGCGCCTCGGCGCCCGGCAAGGGCCTCTTAGTGCCTTACGATGGTCCGCTGAACCGTCACTCGCTAGCACAGCAGCGCAAAGCCGATCCCGAGCTGGACAGCCCGGAGCCATACGAGCCGGGCAGTGTAGATGCGGAACAAGCGCGGCCACAGGTGCCTGGAAGCCGAAGTGCCGCCAGAGCGTCTCGGTGCAGGCCTGCGGCAGCTGCCAGAGGCTCACGCGCTAGCTAGCGTAGATGTGGATGCTGTGCAGAAACGCTGTGGGAGACAGCTGCGCCTGTGCAGAGGGGTGGGCAGACGACGCCTTCGCTCGGGCAGAGAGAGGCGAGGCGGGCGCGGCTGCAGACGCGTCAACGCCGCGCGCGGCGTTTTGCAGAATGTTCGCGTGTCTTTTCCACCCGCGGGCGACACGTCGGCGCGCTGCGCCGCGGCGAAGCATCTCCGCGGCGCCGCAAGCGGCAACCGAGTAGCGGGCCGCGCATGCGCGTGCGGCCTGGCTCAGTGCCACCACCTTCCTCTCACCCACCCGTTCCCATCGTCACCCCCACCGCAAACGCCCAGCATGTCCGCTGCTGTGATGAACGTGCGTACGCAGCCGGGACTCTCCGCCCGCGCGCCCTTGGCGGCACACCTCCATCTGCGCACGGCGCGAGGCTTCCGCCGTGCTTGCGCGCGCACGGCCGTCAGACACTTTGCGCCGTTGCCGTGCGATGCGCGCATCGCTGCGATGCAGCACGCCACTTGCTCGATCTGGCAGTCGCACAGGCGATGCGCAGCACCATTCACAGCGGCGAGCAACTCGGCATGCAGCGCACGCCTGGCGGCCCTGCCAGTGCGCGGCGCGATCTCCTGAGCCCGCCGGTTTGGCGCTAGCATCTCAGCCGGATGTGCAGCCGTCTGCTGGCTAGTGTCTCGCCCTACCCGTTCTGACGCCTCTCTTCTACAGCTGGCCTTCATGTTTGGCGCCATGCAGGTCGCCAAGCGCATCCCCTTTGACGACAAGCCGGAGTACATCCTCTACGCCCGGGCGGCGTACGTGGGCGCCCAGCTGCTCTGTCTGCTCATCAACTACGTGATCTCGCTGCGCATCAAGTCGAAGAACGACCTGCGCGTGCTCAAGTACGTCGAGCCCAAGAGCGCCATGAGCCAGGAGCCCGGCGAGCTCGTCACGACGACGAACCGCGACTACGACCTCGCCGAGGTCAGCAAGGCCACGCGCGGCGTCCTCATGGGCACGCTGATGGTCGGCTTCATGCACCTCTACATGGGCTACACGAACCCGTGAGTCATGCGAGATGCGCTGCGAAAAGCACGCCTGATTGGCACACGTGCCGCTTTGCTTGGCAACGCCGCACACCGGCTGATCGATGTCCTGCCCGTGACCAGCCTCGTGATCCAGTCGATCCTGCCCGTCAAGAACGCGCTCGAGTCCAAGGAGGCGATGATCTGGCTGTGGGGCAAGGAGGGCGCGGAGGAGTACAAGCGCCCCTTCAAGGCGGCGCCGGGCATGTTCGGTGAGTTGTGCTGGCCCTGTTGCTCTCGCCACACCTCTCACGTCTGCTCTGCTTCAGGCATGGGCGGCCCGCAGGGACCGCAGACGGACAAGGCTGCTATCGCCGCCGCGGAGCGGGCTGGCGGCGCGTCGGCCGCTGGCGACAAGAAGGCCGAGTAAAGGCCGGGAAGTGACATGCAGCTCCGCCGCCGCCCAAGCTCAAGATGCACGTCTTCTCCCGGGTCCATCGATAGAGTCGCCGCCGCCTCCCCCGCATCCTCTGTACAAATCTGCCGTCGCGATGGCGCAGCGTCGAATGGGACGCCAAAAGCTGAATCGCAGGATGTGCTCTGCCCGTCTGGCGTTGCGCAGCATGGCTCAGACTCGCATTGGCGCTGATGGGGATGGTGTTACACATGTGGACGTGACTGGTGTGGAAGTAGACGGGACGTATGGGTGGGAGAGGACCGGAATCTTGCGGAGTGGCCGGGCGCGGGAGTAGCGGACGGCCGCACTGGGGCCGCAGGCGTATGCGCATGCGGCCGAGCGTCGTGGAGGGGCGGCGCGAACACGATGCCATGGCCTAGACGGCCTCGACGCCGCCGCTGGAAGCCGCCGACGGGGCCGGCGGCGATGCGGCGTCTTGGTTGGTTGCGCTGGGCGGCTGGGCGGCTGGCGCGGCTGGGACGGCGCTGCTTGCTTGCGCGGCCTGCGCCTCGAGCTTCCGGCGCTTCTTCTGCTCGTCGTGCGCGCGCTTGGCTGTCTCCCAGGAGACCGCGAGCGCCTCGATCTCGTCGCGCCAACGAGCGCGCGCGCCAGGCAGCACATCGGTGCGCCACAGCGCATGGTCGCGCTCGCGCGAGGGAATGACGTCCTCGATGAAGCGCTGCGGCGCAGCGAAGAAGCACTCGAACGTGTGCAGAACGTAGACGCCACAGTCGCTGAGATTCGGCTGCTGGGGCATCGCGACATCCTGCAGGGCACAGCCGAGCGTCAGACAGACGGCAAGCACGCCGAGGCGCGATCCACTCACGATGTGCTCCGTCTTCAACAGCTCCTCCTTCTTGAGCTCACCGGGCGGCGTCTGGGCACGCAGCGACAGGTGCTGACGAGTAAGGTATCCGGCGAGATTCGTGCGCACCGCCTGGTGCTTGCCTCCGAGCGAATCGAAGATGCAGACGGTGGTGCTGTCCTTGAGCCAGCCGCGGTAGCGCTCAGTAACCTCCAGCGACTTCTGCGGCACCGGCTTCGGCTTGACGGGATCGCGCTGCTGCTGCTGCTTGCCGTACTTCGCGCCCGAGGTGCTGCTCTGCGCCGTCGCGCGCTGCGCACCCGGCCGGCCTGCTGTGCTGGCAGACGGCCCGGTGCGCGAGGGAGGAGGAGGTGTGGGCGAAGGCGACGGCGTACGATTCTCGCCCGGCCTGATGAGCGTGGGGCCACCGCCCCGCAAAAGACCGCGGCCCTTGTTGCTGAGCATGAGGTCATCCCTCGCCGGCGCGTCTGAGTCTGCATCTCCGCGTCGCGCCTTCTTGCGTGGCGAGGCGGAAGGCGAGACGGCACCGCCGAGCGCAAGAGCTTCGCCTTGCTGCTGCGTGGTCGCACGTGTGGCGGGCAGGGGGATGGCTGCTGCTGGAGCGCGCGGGAAAGGCTCGCTCTCGTCGCCAGACTCAGGAAGCTCGATGACTCTGCTGGGCGCTCCGCCTGAAGCTTTCGAAGCAGAGCCTGAAGACTGTGCCCTGCTGCGCTTCTTGCGAGACTGGTCCTGTGCGGATGCGTCGATGCGCTGCTTGATCGGCGACGATGCAGCGTGCCTCACTTCGACTGCGCACATGCCCGGATCCGAGGCGTGCTCTTGCTGAGCACTGCTCGTCGCAGACGAGGACGATTCCTTAATGGAAGCTGGCACCATGGCGTCCTCGGGGATTGTCGCAGTCATGCCGTGTCGCCTGTTTGACTGCTCCACCGTGCTGAGAGCGGCGGGCGTGTCTGAGGGAGGCGGCGTGCCGAGCTCGGAGCTGTCGGGCGCGGACGAGCTGATGGACGCCAGGCCTGCGGACTCGTCAACAGACGTCGACACCGAGCCCTTCATTGCCACGTCCGAGACGTCGGAGCAGGCCTGCGGCGTCAGCATGCCCATTGGCGCGGCGCTGTCGGATGCGGCATGGTCTGCGGCAGGCGAGGTGCCGCAGTCGAGCTCAATCGCTGGGATAGGCTGCTCAGCTGCCGGTGCGGCCATGTCCACGTCGTTGAGCGGACTGGCTCGGCCGCTGACGGGCGCCGGTGCGGGCGGTGAGGACGCGGCGGCCACGGCGTCCTCCATCTCATCGTCGCTGAGGACCACGCCCTTCACTACGCTGCGGCGAGTCTGGCGACGCTCGACTGGCGCCACAGAGTCTGCAGTACGCTCTGCCTCCTCGATCGCGCGCTTCTCGAGCGCGTGTGGAGCGATGCAGAAGGACGGGTTGACGACGATCGCCAGGTACCAGTGCAGATGCTCGTTGATCGGCACGACGAGGTACTTCTTCTCGAACACGTTCGTCTTGGCCCACTTGCGCACCGATTCAAAGCCCGCTGCCTTGTCCTTGTTCTCGGTAAGGCGCTTGTAGAAGAACGACGAGAAGATGTGGATCTGCGCGGCGAGCGCGGGATTCTGCTGTCTGATCTTCTCGTGCAGCAGACTCAGCCCGAGCTCGATGATTGTGTCGTTCACTGCACGCGGGCGGCAACGGCGCGTCAGATGGGTGCAACAGGCGTCGCTAACGCTGGCGGCACTCACGGAACTCGTCATCGCAGAGCTTCTCGATGTCCGTGTTGAACACGGCGACGCCGCGCACGCTCGGATCGTCCGGATAGCGCAGGCGCTGGACTTCCTGCTCAGGCAGAATCTTGCGGCGCCCTAGCTGCACTTCGTTGTCCGACGAGCACCTGGTGTCGGGCGCGCCTTTCGCTCCGCCGCTCGGACTTCGCTCCGCGCGCGACGCTCGCAGCTGGCCTTGCGGGCTGCGTTCGCGGCGCGAGATCGCCGGTGCTGCGGCGCTTTTGGTCGCCGAACGCGCCGGCGCCACCGCATTTGCACTACCGGCTGAGGGTCTGGGTTTCGGGCGTTCTGCACGCGAAGGCGGCTTCGCCTTTGTGCTGTCGGCGGCACCCGCTGAAGCATTGTCGAGATCTATGAGCGCTTTGACAGTGTCGTCAGGCAGCAGAATGATGTTGCCCAGGGCCTTTGGGCAAGGCGGATAGCGCTTCTCCTGTCCGAAGCGCTCGGCGACCGTGGGCCAGTTGTCCACAGTAGCGTCCTCTTCCCGGTCGAAGATGAAGGTGTGCTTAGTGTTCGACGAGTCTGCGGCGATGCGAGTGGTTCAGCTATGGCCGCGCGCCCCGAGCCGGCTTCTGAACGCACTCTCGTCCCATTCAAGGAAATGCTGGCGCAGCTCATGGTTGGCCTTGCTCGCATGATCGAGGTTGAGCATGAGAAATGGGGACGCGGGACCGCCATACTGCGGCCAATGAGCATCAGCACGCGCGACTGCAGCGACGAAGCGGCATGCTCACCTCGATCGTAGCGAGATGGCCCGCCAGAATCGTAATAACTGCCTTCTGGTCGTTCTGCGTGCGCCATTCAATCTCAAGACGGTCGGGACGGCATTGCAGGCGCGGGAGTTGATCACGAGTGACCTTCCCGACGTCGCCGACGAGCCAGCGCAGGATCGGCACTGTGAAGTGGCGCTTGTCCTTGATCGAGACGTTGGCCACTTTCGATGCGCTTGCTCCAGGCTTCGGACTCTGGAGCGTCCTTTGTGCCGGTACACCTAGCGCAGACGATGCGGCGGCCGTCTGCTTCTGACAGGGGCGGCAAGTCAGATCACGAGCTCAGTTCGTCGACGCGGCAACTTATGCGCGACATCCGGTCAAACTCACCGTCTTCGATTGTAGGCGAGCAGCGATGCCGGCAGGCCGCGGCGACACGGCGACCAGAAAATCTAATGGGTCGTCGTGACCGTCCGCGTCCTGCAGCGTGGGATTCACAGTCTTGGCCTTCGGCTTGACGGCCTCGATACTCGGCGCCGTGCTGATCTCGGACGCGAGGCGCGCCTGTGCCGATGCTGCTCCATCCGATGCACTCATCTCGCGGCGCGCGCCAGCTGTTGCCTGCGGCTTGCTGCTACTCGCAGAGGCGATGGGCGCAGCCTCGTGTTCATCGTCGGAGATCTCAATCGGCTCGGCGTTCGCTCGGCGGGTAGCAGCAGCGCTGCCCGAAGCATTGCGGTACTGAGGCTGATCCACGTGTGCGTTGCTTCGCCGATTCGCGGCAGAATCTGCAGGGCAGCGATGACTGTGAGTGCTCGGCACGAGAAGCGGTCTGCTGGCTGTGCTGGCCGCATGGCAGCGCCAGCGGAAGACACGTCCCGCCCAGCTGCTGAGCGGCCGCACACTGCGCGGAGCTCGCCATATCTCTCGACCTCAATGACTGACCGGAAGCGTGGTAGAACGTGGTGGCCTTGACGGGCAGCGGAGCCTTGACGGCGGGCGGGTCCTTGATGAGCGGCGAGCCTTTTCCAGGCGGGCTCTTCGTCAACCACGGCATTCTGCTCAGAGACTGGGCGGATGACTCGGCAGCCTTCGCATCATCGAGCGTGTTCATGCCCGGCACGAAAGGCCCTTGAAGCGACTTGCGCGGCCGACGTTCTGTCTTCTTGCGGTCAGCGTCCTTGTGCGACGACTGCTTCGTCGTGAGACAGATGCGGACGTCCAGTGAGCTGGCTGTGCTGCCTAGGGGAAGAGAGAGCAGGACGTACCGCGCTGACGCTCCTTCTGCTCGTCTTTGACTGGTCTCCCTCGTCGTCTGAAGACGGTGGACGATCGCCAGGCTGCGGCACCCGGATCAGTCGGCCCTTGGAGCTGCAGTAGGTGCGCACGGCTTCAGACCCGAGACCAGCCTGCCGCCGGTGCGTCTGTCGAGGCAAGACTCACCCTGACGCCTTCGAGCTTACGCCGTGCAAGTTCTGCATGTCTTCGCGCTCGTCGGGGTTGATGAGCGAGAATGTCGGCTTCTGCTTGAACGAATTGTCCGCCGGTCTGCCGGCCGGCATCGTCGCAGAGGGGCGCGGCGGCAAGCCGCACCTCTCGCCGGCGGTCGCAAGGCACGGAGCGCGACGCCGTCTGTAGCCGAAGCAGTGCGGCGCGATGGGATGCGCACAGACGACGGAAGGCGAGCGAGACGGTCGAGAACGGGCGCTCGGCGGGCGGAGCGGCGGGCGAGAGACACGGCAGGAGATGAGGGTGCGGCGGCGCGCCAGCGCGCAGCTGTGAGGGCGCACGCGGCTCGCCGGTTTCCGATGCGCGAGCAGCAGCAGCGGTAAGCTCGGCGGGCGAGGCGCAGATTGGCGGCCTGCGTCTCGACGCGGAGAGCTGGGCGTGGTGGACGGAAGGGAGGGAGCAGTGGGCTGCGACGCCGAGCCAGATGGACATCTTGTGGTCGGTGCTGCTGCGCGGCGCAGCGCGGCGGCTCGACGCGAATATTCAGCAAGCTGCGGCGGCCGCGCTTGGGGCTCACAGCCGCGGGTTCTCTCTCCACTGCCGCTGCCTTGCGCTAGCATCGTGCGCGGCGCAGCCTCCCTTCTTCCAACACCACCCGCACGCCTGTCCCTCGCGTGCCTTCCTCTCCGTCTCGCCGGGCCTGCAGCAGGAGCGATGTCGGCGTACGGCCTCCATGCGCCGCACCTGGCGCCGAGCGGCTGCGCCTTCGCCGTCGCGCTGCGCCTGACGCCGCATGATGCCAGCCCGCACCGCGGCCGCCTCGCCGCTCACCTCGTCACGGCGCGCGACGACTGCGTCACGGTGTGGGAGGTGCGGCTGCTCGAGGAAGCGGTGCGTCGTGTCGGAACACCTCCAGTCTGCGCTGTGACTCGTGCGCCGCGCACTGACGGCCGCGCCTTGCAGACTCGCCTGTACTGCGTGCGCTCCCACCGCCTCTTCGGCAACGCGACCGGACTCGCGCGGGTGCAGCTGGAGGCCAAAGAGGGGCAGGATGAGCGAGAGCGTGTGCTGGTCTCGTTCAAAGATGCAAAGGTCAGTCTCTGCTCAGGGACGGCCTCACATTCCCGGTCTCAGCTGCACAGTGGAGGTGGCTCAGACGCGCGACGAGCTCGGGGGGAGACGGCCAGGCCATGGCTCACAGGAAGCTCGCGCCGGCCCGCTGCGCTTCCAGCGCCAAAGCTGACCTTGCGACCTCCCAGATGTCGCTCTTGGAGTGGTCCGATGCTGCTGGAGATCTGCAGACCGTGTCAATCCACACATACGAGCGAGCGCCCCAGCTGGTAAGTGCGCTCTCGAGCGACGCTTTGCTTTGCTCATTTGTGCGCCCTGCCAGTCCTCCGGTCTGCCGCCGAACTTCCGAGCTGTGCTGGCGGGGGATCCGGCCTCGCGCTGTGCCGCACTACTGCTGCCCGGCGATGCGATTGCCGTGCTGCCCTTCTTCCAAGACGAGGCGGAGCTCGAGATGATGGACGAGCTGTCGGGTGCGTCCGGACTGCACGCCGGGGATATGGGCCGTTCGCTGCCGTATGCCCCGTCCTTCGTCCTGCCTTTGCGCGATGTGGACGCGAGCATACGCAACGTGCGCGACGTCGTGTTCCTGCCTGACTTCCAGCGCCCGACGCTGGCGGTCCTGTTCTCCTCGGAGCAGACGTGGACCGGGTGAGTGGGACGAAATGCGCGCCGCAGTGCAGTGGCTGATGGACCTGTCTCCAGACGCCTGAACGAGCACCGCGATGTCTGCTCCGTGTACCTCATGACGCTGGACCTGACTATCTCGTCGACGCATCCGCTCATCTCGACGCGAAGCAGCCTGCCATACAACTGCCTCTACCTCACGGCGTGCCCCGCCTACATCGGCGGCGGTGTGCTGGTGGCTACGCCCACAGCGCTGTTCCACGTCGATCAGGGCGGCAAGGTCGTCGGCCTGGCGCTCGGCGAGTGGCACGCCATGACGTCGGACCTCTCGCTGCCGCTGCGGCCAGCAGAAGGCCGTGATGTCACTCGCGGCCCCCTCAATCTCAACGGCTCGCACATCGTCTTTCCGCCGGCGCAAGATCGTGCCACGTCGGCGCTGCTTTTTGCGCGCGACGGCGAGGTGTACGCGGTCGTCTTTGAGCTGGACGGCCGGTCGCTCTCCAAGCTCTCGCTCGAGCTACGCTCCACGACGGTGCCGCCTGCGCAGGCTCTTACACTGCCCGACAGCAGCCTGGTCTTTGTGGGCAGCATGGTCGGGCACTCCGAGCTTCTGCGCATGGAAAGCCGGCTGAAGGTCAAGGGCGAGGGCGATGCGGACATCAAGCCGGATGCCGCTGCCCAGGCCATGGAGCTCGACATTGACGATGGTGAGCACGCTGACCGCACATGGTCTGCTCCAGCCGCTGACCAGGGGCGCCAGACCTCTACGGCGACTCCGGCGCGGGCGCGTCTGCGAACGGCCACAGCCTGGCAGCTGCAGAGACGGAGATGCATCTGTTGGCGTGCGCCCGGATGCCCGGCCTTGGTCCTGTTCTCGACGTGACGGCCGCTGTCATGCCCGGCGAGGACGCCGTCGAAGCGCGTGCGGCCCAGACCGCTGCGTGTACAGGCGCTGCGCCAACCGGCGGCCTGACCTTGTTCGAGGTGAGCTTGACGCGGGCCGACAAGGGTGCCTTGACTGATCCGTCCGTGCTGCAGCCGAAGCTGCTGCCCCGCAAGCGGCATCGCCTGGCCCTCGATGCTGCGAGCGGTATCTGGGTGCTTCCACAGCAGCGCCCCGACGCCCACTCTCTTGCTCTTGCCTCGAGCGACACGTCGACCACGCTTTTTAGCCTGTCCGCCGACGGGGACGTGTCGATTGTGGCAACGCTCGCCGAGCGGACCATCAACGCGACAGCACTCGCACCGCGCGGAGCGGAGACCGCAGCCTTCTTCGCGCGGGCTGTGCCTCAAGGCCTGGAGGTGCTCACCGCAAACGGCGACGTGCTTCAGGCTGTGTCGGTGTCTGGCAAGGGCAAGGCGCCCAGCAGCGATGCCGGCGAGGACGCCGAGGTGTACCAGGCGCACCTGAACGAGACACATGCCGCTATCGTCCGCAATGAGGGGCAGCTGCAGCTTCATGCGTACGACGAGGCTTCTGAGCGCTTCAGTCGTGTTGCTCTCCCTCAAGAGCTGCACCGGGCGCGCTACTCATCTGCCAGCCTCTTTGAAGATCGCCACGGCTACTTCCGCTGGGCGAAGGCCTCGACGTCTGCTGCGCCAACGGCGCGTAGAGCTGACGCGGCGACGGCGTCGAAAGCCTCTCGCATGGACGAGCTGGACGAAGAGATCGACTACGGAGACGACGACATGCCCGCCGTGGCGACCGAGCCGGCTCTCGACCAACAAGACCCGCTGCGGAACGGCACCAATGGCCACGCGGCTGCACCTCGTGCTCACGCTGGCAGCTGGCTGGTCCTCGTGACTGCGGACGGTGTCGTCGAGGTGAGTCTGCATCGCCTCTGCGCCTGTGCCCCCTCCGACCCTGACCCAACGACCACACAGATTCGCGCTCTGACAGACCTCGCTTTGGCTTGGTGCTCGAACTCGCTGTCGGCGTTGCCGCAACGGCTCGACTATACGCCGCAGACGGGCTCGGCATCAGCAGAGTCCGGACTGTACGTCGTGCAGGCGTGCATGTGTGTCATCGGCGACGCGCCGCATCTCGCGGTAAGTGCCTCGCGCCACACGCTCCTATTCCTTTTCTTACGCTGCCAGCAGGTTTCGTTCGAGAACGGCCTGGTCACCGTGTACGAGGCGGTTCCATTCGCGCCGCAAGGCGACGAAGCCTCGGCGGCGCCCGAGACTGAGACTGCGCCGCGGCTCTCTCTCTCATTCGTAAAGGTCCTCGGGCGGCAATTGTCGACCACGGACGTGGCCGGACCGGCGTCGGAGGACGAGGTGGCGACGCTCGCTGCCACGCTCACGCCGTTCGTCGGCCTTGGCGAGCTGAGTGGAGTGTTCCTGGGCGGCGAGCAGTCCGGCTGGGTGTTCAAGGATCCCGCCGGCCCCTTGCGCTTCCGCGAGAGCGCAGAAGGCGGCATCGACGTGTGCATACCGCTGCGCTGTCCGCGCACACCTCTCCGCTTCCTCTTCAGCCAATACGGCACGGTCAGTGCGCTGCGTCGAGGCCTCGGCACGCGAGCTCACCCCCCTCGCAGATCTGCACCGCAGAGCTGCCCGATCTTTCCTTCGACCTCGACGTGCCGTACAGGCACCTGCCGAGCCCACGGACATACACGCATCTCGCAGCACATCCCGTCACACGGACTCTGGTCGCCGCATCCGAGTCCCCGCAGCGCTTCAATCTGTTCGACCCGGAGGAGGGCACGGTCGTGCAGGATCCCGCTCGTGAGTCACTTCCGCCAGCACGGCGAGCGAACCCTGATGCCAGTTCTGCAGTCGATCCAAGCCCGGCCTACACGGCCCGAGGTGCACTAGAGCTCTTTGTGGACAGCACAGGTGCTCCTGTGGACGGGTGAGTGGTGGCGTCACACACTTATTCGCATGCTGACGAGCGACTGCTGTCAGCTACGAGTTTGACCAGTGCGAGTTTGCCTGCTGCGTCGAGCTCGTCACACTGGCGTCTGTCAGCACACTCGAGCGCACGCGCGACTACATCGCCGTCGGCACAATGACTGCGCACGGAGAGGACCGCCCCTCCAATGGCGTGGTGCGTCGTGTCCAGGCGCCGCTCTGCCCTGCGCTCACCACTGTCTTTGCGCAGATCTACATCTTCGACGTCGTCGAGGTCGTGGCGAACCCCGAAGACCCGGCGGCGCGCTACCGTCTGCGACTCGTGTTCAAGGAGAAGCTCAAGGCGCCGATCACCACAATTACAGACATCAATGGCTTCCTCGTCGTCACCATGGGCCAGAAGGTGAGTCGCGCACCGCGTGCTTCGTCCCGCCAGTGGCTCACGCGCCCCTGCAGCTCTTTGTGCGCTCACTCGAGAACGACGAATGGCTGATCACCATTGCCTTCCTGGACATTCCCTACCAGACGACGATGATTCGGCGCATCAACAACTTCCTGCTGCTGAGCGACGTGCGCAAGTCGACGTGGTTCGTCGCCTTCCAGGAGTCTCCATACCGGCTCGTCGTGCTTGGCAAGGACTTTGTGGACACGTCTGCGGCGACGGGCGATTACCTGGTCGACGGCGCGAATCTGGGCATCGTCTCGACCTCCACCGAGCGCGTGATGCGCCTCTTTGACTATGCACCGAATGTGCCTGCGAGCCAGGGCGGGCTGAAGCTCATGCTGCGGGCGGAGTACCAGCTCGCAGCGGAGCCCAGCTGCACGCTCATGATACCCGGTGCCGCGCCGGAGGGTGGCTTCTCGCAGCAGTCCGAGATCGTCTATGGTGCGTGCGCGCGTCGAGTGGCGCCCTGCACCAGCTCACAGCGGCAACCGGCAGGCATGCGCAATGGCTCCATCGACACGCTTGTGCCTGTCGAGCAGGGCGCATTCCAGCGACTGCAGCTGCTGCAGACGCAGCTGGTGCGCAATGTCCAGCATGTTGCCGGCCTCAATCCTCGCGCATACCGGTGAGTGGTGCTGCGCTCTGCCTTGCGCTCGTTCTGACTGCTCCGCCCGCCTGTGACGAGCAGCGCCGTACGCAATGACCACGTCTCTCGGCCACTCATGAAGGGAATCGTAAGTGCCCTGTGTCAGCTAGCACTGCAGCTGCGGCTGACATGCTCCCCTGCCCCTCACAGCTCGACGGCATGCTGGTGAGCAGCGGCCCCGGCAGCGAGCACACGCTGCACATGCTGACCCTCACTCTAGCTCTCGACGTTTGAGAGCCTGCCTCGGCCCAAGATGATCGAGCTCGTCGACGCGCTGCAGGGCGCCATGGGCGAGAGCGGGGCAGACCAGGCACTGCGGGACATTGCCTCGCTGCGCAGCCACTGGGGACAGGCCATCGGGTGAAGACAATCCATGTCACTGCCATTTGTACGATGCATCGCTGGCTCGCTCGCGCTTCTGCTTGCCTGCCGCCTTTGCGCCGGTGTCGCGTGCGGGACGCGGACCGAGCTGCGTCTTGTCGGCGGGCCCATGGCTTTGGCGTTGGCCGCTGCTGGGTGCCGCACCCTTGGTCGTGCGCGACTCGCTGCCAGCAGCCTGGCGCGCCTTGGGTCGCTGCGGCGATGCACCAGGCTTGGTTCGAAGCAACTTCTGCTCAAGTGTCTGGAGAGCGGTCGTCGCATCGGCAATGAGGCGTGGCATCGGGTCAGTCAGCGCCGTGGCAGTCGGCGTGACGAGCAGCAGGTGATCTGGGCGAAGGTGCCGGTCAGCGGCTGCTCCACGCCGATTGGGCGATCTGGCCTCACCAGCGAGCGCGGCGCCTGTGCCGCCAAGCAGTGCCACACGCATTGCCTCCTTCATCCTGGTGCGCCCTCGGTCGCGGACGCATGCGCTATTGCCGAGAACGCGCTTCGGCGTGAGGAACACGACGTGCAGTGCCGGCGGCTGCGAGTCTGCAGGCTCAGCGGCACGCAGGTGACGGGCCTCGTGGGTTTCGCGCCGCGGCAGGCGAGGCAGCCAGGGCACCGGGGGCTTGCGCGGCATGATCTGCACGACGGCCTCGAATTGCGGCCGCTTCACTCTGGCGAGCTGACGGCGAGCAAAGGGAAGCACCTCGAGTGCTGCCCGCGGGAAGCGCAAGAGACGTAGCGCGCCGGAGCCTTTCTGCGTCGGCGAGAGAGGTAGTGTGCGATGAGGGCGAGGTGGTGCGTCGTGCAGCGGCGTGAAGCGGTAGGGATCGGCGCCATTCTCGCTGTGAGGGAGCGTCGAGTGGCAGCGCTGCGCCGCTGTCGCACTGGACGGCCGCAAGCGGCACCAGTCCAGGCGCGGGCGCTGGAGCAGGCGTGCAGCGGCTTCGCGCACGACGCCTGCCATGGTTGGTTCCACGGCCGTGTGCGAGGCGCGATGCTGGCGGCCCAGTTGCAGAGAGAGAGAGAGAGAGTCGGGCGAGGTGGAGGAGCAGAGCGAGAGGGAGAGTGCACGGCAGCGCCGTCACGCGAAGCGCCGCGGCACGAGCGGGGGCTGACGTGGCTCGCGCAGCACGCCCGCTACTGGCGTCCCGCCACCACAATCTCCTGTGTCACGCTGCTCTGTCGCCTCTGAGCAGCTGCCTCGCACCACACGCCTGAGCATCGCGCTGCCGTACTCGCCCGCTGGCCCACTACGCGCAGGCATGGCCAGTGGCGCACCGGCCTCCACGGCGGCGCCTCGCTCGGCTGGCTTCGAGGAGACGGTCGCCTGGGGCGCAGAGGGCGACGTCGACGCCGGCTCGGTCGTGGAGAAGAGCAACCTCGTGCGGTGAGCCCATGCGCCGAGTCTGCAGGAGGAGAATGTGCCCCGTCGCATGCTGCTTCCGGACGCACTGCCATCCCGCTGCATGCTCACGCAGGCCCCACCTGCCAGCGAAATTCAGTCGCAGCAGTCCTCGCTGAAAGGTGCGAGCGCATAGTGTTCTGGCCACTCGCACGTGCTGACGCACAGCCGCCGTCACAGCACTGCTCGCTCGCGTCGCCTCGGTGCAGGCCGACTGCACTAAGGCCGAGACGGACAACGAGATGCTGCAGACCTACATCGACGAGGTCACCAAGAGCCTGGCAGCCAAGTCCTGAGGCACGCGGCCGCCGCGAGGTGCGGCTCACGCCGTCTGGGAGTCAGAATGTCACCTGGTCCACATCGCATGTCTATTGCTGCCGCCACAAGAGCACGCTGCGCAGCGGCCGGCCGTCCTCGGCGCGGTCGATGGTGTGTCCGAGCACATGCCAGCGCTGGGTGCCGCGGCTATTCCACAGTCGCAGCAGCTGAGCGACCTCGGCTCGTGTGAACCTGCCGGCGAGCGGCGGCGAGTCATACTCGTGCGGCAGCGGCGCCTGGTCTGCGGCGTCGATGGCGGCAAAGTGGCTGATGGCGAGGACGCCGCCGGGAGCTACGAGTTCGTCGAGACTCGAGAGCATTGCGCGCGGCAGGAAGCGCACCAGCAGGACGAGGTCGAAGGTGTGTCCGAGGAGCGGACGTAAGGGAGTGGGCGTGCCCAGGCGGGCAACTCGCGAGCTGCAGCCCGGCGGAGCTGCTAGTGCGTGGAGTGCGCCATCTGGCGAGCACTGCGCCCAGAGCAGACGGTCAACGCCGTGTGTGGGCGCTGCAGAGCTGGCGCAGGAGGGGTCGGGGGTTTGTGCCTCGGCAGGCAGCGGCTGCGTCGGTGGATAGCCGGCATCGGCGAGGAGAAGCGACGCACGCATGAGTGCTGGTCGCAGATTGTCGACGCCGGTGCAGCGCCACACTGGCGGACGTTGGCGACCGGTCGCCAAGCTGTTGCACGTCTGGGCCTCCTCGGCCGCGTCGGCGACCTGTGCTGCCTGCCAATGCTCCTCTTGCTCCCGGCCCAGCTCGCAGATCCAGGCCAGATCCCGCCCGCCGCCGCAGCCGAGATCGAGCGCAGTGGCGCGCTGCTGCTCAGCATCTGAGACGTCTTGACCACGCTGTGCGTGCCAGGCCGCCAAGGCGCGGCGCACCAGCGGGCTCGGCTGGTGCAGCAGAGGCGGCACGTCGCCGGGCGCTCGTCCAAGCCGCGAGGGCACCGCCGAGCCCGCAGCGCATGGCACGAGAAGCCCGGCAGCGCGAGCAGCGGCCCAGAAGGCGGCGCTTCCGGCTGCCAGCGCCGCTTTGGCCTCGTGCTCAGTGTGCGGCGTCAGGTGCTGGCGGCAGAGGGCCGTGATGGCCTGCGCAAGTGATGACTCGTCTTGCGACTCAGCCTGCTGTTCCGACGCCGGCGCCGCGGTGGCTCGCAGCGCAGTGGTACGCTGCTCGCCGCTGTCGGGCTGCACGCACCAGTGCGGCACCTGCCAGCGCTCCAGCGCCTCGCGCGCGGCCCCCTCGTCGGCGGCGTGCACGACGACCAGCGCCAGATGTGGCCCTCCACTGCTCGTCTTGCCGCCCTCGCGATGTCCGTGCGCCGGCGGGAGCGAGCTGAAGCGCTGCGCCAGCGCGGCGAGGCCGTCGATGTGCACGGCGCAGCGCAGGTGTGCCGCGGCAAAGGCGCTGCTGCGGCGCAGGTCGAGCACGGCAGCCATGTGCGCAGCCGCAACACCGCGCAGCAGCCTGGGCGGTGTCGAGAGGGTAGGCGACGTGGGGCGGTGTAGATGCGGAGATGGGGAGAGCAGCCAAGACGTGAAGCTTCCAGCCGCCTTGATGCGACATCCGCGCATCTGTGCGCGCCGCAGCTTCGTCGCGCACGCTCTTGCAGTCGCAGTGGGCCAAAGGCGGCATCTACCGCTGCGAGTCCTCTCGGAGCGGCCTCGTCGAAGCCCGCTCCAGATTTTGACGTGGATAGCTACACCATACAAGCGCTCAGTGCGGCGCCGAGCGCAGCGGGAGGGGGGTGAGGCATGAGCTGCATCGTCCTCCACACGACGGTTCTCGCGGCGAGGCGATTTTTGGCGCAAGGGTCGCTCGTCGAGCGTGCAGCGGCTCAGACAGCATGCAGAGATGCGGCTCCGGCACGGCCTCTCGCCCCGTGCCGTCTTCCCCGCACGCCGACCGCCGCGTATTTCTCCGCCGGCCGCTAAGCAGTGCGGACTTCGGCGGGCCCTCTGCCGCCTCAGGCGCTTCCCGCACCCGACGGCGACAGCACATGCGCTGCCATCAGAGAGCTCGACTCGCATGACAGAAGGGGCCGCGAGCGAGCTTACGGCGACAGGCACGCCGAGGGGCCCATTGCGGACGAGGCACGAAAGCGAGAGGGCGCGGCGCAGCGTGAAACGGGACGAGAGGGCACGCCGCGCCGGCGTCTCGATGGGCGCGCCCAGCGCAGCCGGAGCCGAGAGGCCCTTCGTGACACCTGCCGGCCGGCCGGCACCTGCCCTCACCCTGGCTGGCGGCGCTGGGAGCAGGCTTCCCGCCGGCCCGCACCGTCGCCCGACCTCTCCTCTGCACCACGTCCACCATGACCTCGAGCCGCAAGCCGCGCCACTACGAATCGGCGGTGGCCGAGTCGCCCAAGCGCCACGCGCTGCTGGCGTCGCCCTTCTCGCACCTCAAGGCGCGCACCAGCAGCCTGCTCGACAGCATCACCGGCGGCGACGCCGAGGCACAGCGCGCCCAGCGCCTCAGCGAGATGCGCCGCCACGACGACATGAAGGCGAGCACATGCAAGGCCTGCGGCGTCGTCTATGCCGGCCCGCGCGAGCTCGATGCGGTGAGTGTGGAGACGCAAGGCAGGCCACGCGTGGACTGACAGACGTCGCGCTGCGCAGCACCAGGCGCTCTTTCCGCGCCACAAGGCCGAGCAGCTGCGGCGCAAGGTGCCCACGCGCGCCGCATCGACGTCGGCGCTCGCCGACTTTGACGCCGTGCCGTCGCCCGTGGCTGCTGCGCCGGCCCGCAAGGACTCGGCCGCGACGGTGCCGAACATGACGCTCATCGACGTGCCGCCGGTGGACGAGTCGCCGTTCTTCACCGACTCGCCCGTCACGCCTGCGAGCCCCTCGGCTGTGCCGGGCTTCCCAGACTTTGCCTCGCGCTTCTCGCCGCTGCCCGAAGAGGTCGGCCGCGCCCCGCAGCCAAAGAGCCCGGCGCCTGCCTCGCCGCGCAGTCCGCAGGAGATGCGCAACGTCGAGGCCGGTCGGGCGAGTGCGGCCCGGCAGCTGGCCCAGTCCCCGCCGAAGCCAGCGCCACGCAGGCGGGGCGCCTCCGAGAATGGCCTCGCGATGCTCGGCGAGCTCTCGCTGCAAGAGTCGTCGCCGGCGCGGCCGGCCATGCACACGCGACAACGCAGCATCGGCGACATCGTCGGCGCCGTGATGGCGACGGCCAAGGCAGGCTCGGGCGGCGCGGCCAGCATGCCAGGCCCATCGCAGGTGTCCGGCTCTGTCGAGGTCGACGGCCGGCGGCGCACGCCGACTTCGCACTTCCGCGCCCTGTCAGATACAGAGCCCGTGCGGGCGCCGCCGCCGCTGCCGCCCAAGGCCGCTCCTGCGCTGCAGCCCAGCGCCGTCAAGTTTGAGAGCGGCACGAAGCAGCGGCAGGAGAAGTCGTGGCAGGCCTTTGAGCCGGAGGGCTCGTCGGAGGGCCACTCCGACCTCGGGCACGTCCAGTCCGAGGCGGCGCCGGTCTTCGCGCCTCCTGAACGCAGCGACGCCTGGAGCTCGGCGCCAGCACCGGCACCTGAGCCGTACAGCCCCGGACGACGAGTGCCACCACCGCCGCCGCCGATGCCTCGGCGCCGCAGCACCAATCCGTTTCTGCCGGACCTGCACGTCGAGACGGCCTTTGCACGGCCCAGCGGGCCCGTGTCGTCGGCCGATGCATACGCGCTGCCCGCGCAGCCGCGCTCGCCCACCGCCCCGCGCTCGCCTGGCAACCCGTTCCGATAGCTCTGCTAATGTATTTCATGCTTGGTGCAGATAGATGCGCTCTGAGGGCGAGCGGTGAGGATAGTCGAGAGAGGTGGAGCGGTGCGAGGCGGAGACGCGCAGCGCACGCACCATGATGCAGCCGCTGCAGTCTGTCAGGCACCGGCTTCCTCTCCTCTCGTGCCTGAATGCGCTGCGCCGCGCTGGCAGCGCGCCGCTCGGCCGCAAGCGCCGCGCGCGGGGAACAAGGCCCGAGGTGGCCTCTCACCCGCCGAGTACACTCCCAACCACCACCACCAGCACAGCACACAGCAACCGCCGTACACGCCGCACCACTTGCCCCTCCTCTGCTGCTGCTCCTGCGTACCCAGCTGCTGCAGGCCGTCGCCCCGCACGCCGCGCCCGATGTCCCTCTCGCCGGCGCAAGGCGCGCCGCACGACGACGCCGCCGGCGCCGCCTCGCCGGCCGAGGGCGGCTCCAAGTTCCGGCGCTTCTTCAAGAAGTTTGGGCGGCGGCCGTCCGATGAGGCTGTGGCCGGCACTGAGGGCGCCGCCAGCGAGACGCACGAGCGCGGCGCGCGCGAGCGCTCCCAGTCGGCGTCGGACGCCGGTGCGCTTGCGGCCGCTGGCGGCACGTCCAAGGCGGCCGCAGCAGGCCAGGCCGCGGCCGGAGGCACGGTGACGGGAAAGACTCAGCGGCGGCGTGCATCCAAGGGCGCGGCCGAGTCGCGCGGCAGCACGCCCAAGGCGCGGCGCAGCTTCTTCGGCAGCAGCAGCGGCAATGCCAACGCTGCGCCCGCCAACGGCGCGTCGGTGCCTGTCCCTGCGCTGCCGGCACAGCTCGCCACGACGCCCGATCCACCAGCCACGCCGACGCCCGGCGCAGAGCTTGGCTTTGCGGCGCCGCGCGTGCCCGACCTGGCTGGCACGCTGCACCTGCCGGCCTCAGCCGCGGCCGAGGGACAGTCGCCGTCGCAGCTGCTCGCCGCTGAGCACGGCAGCGGCGGCGCCAATGGCATGCCGCGCTCGCCGCCGCCGCAGCTCGAAGGCCTGCCGACGCACGAGGCCTTGTTGCCCGCAGAGATCCTGGCGTCTTCGACCGCGACGGGCATCCCAGGTGTCCCGGCCGTGGAAGAGACGCTCGGCCCCGACGCTCTGCCTGCGCCCGGTGCAACGGCCGCTCTCGCCGTGTCGTCTGCGCCGCAGACTCACGAGGCTGGCGAGCCGGCAGCAGTCGCGCCGGCGCACCCGGAGGAGCACAGCTTTGCTTCCTCGCGTGACACGCACGACGACGACAGCAGCGTCGAGTACCGCGGGCTGGCGCGCGATTCCCTCGACGCGCGCACGATGGACACGGGCAAGATGAGCCGCGCCAGCACCAAGCCGACGACGCTGATGAGCCTCGAGCGCGAGCCGAGTGAGTTGCGCGTGAGGGGAGCTTGACGTGCAGCTGACACTCTCTGCCAGGTACTACGATGGCTGGCATCGCAACGCACCGCCGCGGCGAGTCGAGCCACGCCGGCGGCTCGCCCGAGCTGGAGCGCCGCGATGGCGCGGGCAACGCACAGCAGGGCAGCGCGGCGCCCGCCATTTCGTTTGTCGATCCCATCCCGCACGCCAGCGGCGCCGTGCACGACGAGCCGTACGTCTCGGTGCCGTCGCACTCGCGGCCGCACCCGTCGAACAACCCGATGCCGCACGGCATGCCGTCGGACAATGCCAGCGTGCTCACGCTTGCGTCCTCGACGGCGCCGGCGTCGATCGGCGGCCACACGGGCTACGCCGCCTCGTCGCGCCACGGCCACCAGGCGGCCGGCTCGCTGGGCGGCGCGCGCTCCATCGGCGGCAGTCTGATGGGCGAGCGGCGCAACTCGAGCGACACGTACGCCAGCATGAAGGCGCTGCCGCCGCTCAGCCGCCGCGGCAGCGACGCCAGCTCGCGCACGGGCCGCGACAGCGTCGCCGCCAGCGTCGCCGCCAGCGTCGCCGCCAGCGCCACGGGCCTCAGCTCGGCGCAGGCCATGTCCAGCGGCGCCAGCGGGCGCGACATTGCTGCGATGGGCGGAGCCAGTGGGCGCGACATTGCCGCGATGGGCTACGTAGCCGGTCCGGGTGCGCCGGGCGACCGCATCAGGTGAGGCTCCCCCAGAAGAAGCGGGGGGAGGGGGTAATGGACGCTCGTGTGCTGACAGCGCTACACACAGCATGCACCGCACGCCCTCGCAGCGCACCGTCGCCACGCAGCTCTCGATTCCCTTTTCCTCCTCGATGGCCGCCGCAGCCCAGGCGGCGCCCGAGGCCCAGCACCGCGCCGCTGCGTCTTCGCTGTCGCATGTCGCGGCCGCCGACGGCGGCGCGGAGGACGGCACGGTGGACACGACGGTCGATGCGGAGCCGGCGCCGGCGGAGACGCACGAGGCGGTCACGCCGGCGCAGCAGGGGCAAGCGGCGGCGGCGTGAGGCGAATGGCAGTCATACGAGCATACAGCGCGGGGAGTGAAGCGCGTGCGCAGGTGTGGCCATGGCGGCTGCAGCTCGAGCTCGTTCGCGATTCCTCCATCGCAGGCGCCGACGCAGCCCTCACCCTCTGACCCGGAATTAGTGGCTCGAGGCGCAGCGGGGAGAAGGGGGGGGGGCGAGGAGAAGGGCGAGGAGAAGGGCAAAGAGAAGGTTAGACGCACGCTCGGTGCGACGGCGCGGCGCAGCGAGGAGTCACAAGCGGCGATGAGGGCGATAGATGCGACGTTGGCGATGTCGGCTAGTCGTCGCTAGCAAGACTCGACTTGATCTCGACGACGCCGTCGCGAGACGCGCGCCGTCGACGCCTGCATCTGCGCAGCTCTCGAGCTCTCGAGCTCTCGCCTCCTCGCCTCCTCGCCTCCTCGCCCTCTCTGCTCCTCGCCTTCTCGACGCTCAAGAGCCATGGTGCGTTGGCGCATCGACGGTGTACGCCGGCAGCTCGACGGCGTGATGGGGACTCGCGTCTGCGTCTGCGTGTGCGTCCGCGGCGAGAGGCGCCTGGCCGCCGGCTGCCGACTCGGCATGCTTGACGTGCGTGTGCGTGTGGAGATGCTGCGACGCGGGCGCAGAGGCCGCTTCTCCCTCGCCGGCGGCGGCGGCGGGTGCGGGCGTGTCGGCGTTGGTCACGGCGACCGCGGCGACAGCGTCGGGCGCAGGCTTGCGATGCGCGGAAGAGAGGGATGCATGCTTGTTAACGCTTGCTGCGCCGGCGTCGTGGTAGACGGTCGAGCCGTGCGAGGATGAGCCGGCGTGCATCGCGCATGGCTGCGCTTCTCCCTCGGCGCTTCGAGTCGTGCTTGCCCCCGCTGCGAGGTTGTTTGCCGTCGTCGTCGTGCCCGCGTGCTCGCCGTGGCCGCGCTCGACGGCGTGCGAGTCGGCCTCCATCTTCACCCCCGCCTTCCTAAAGCGCCATCCCACGACCGCCACGAGCGCGAGCATCCCCGCCGCCACCGCGACGGCCAGCCACGCAAGCGCGATGAGCGCATACGTGCGGTCCGCGTACTGCTTTGCGTCTTTTGCGAATTCGCACGTGTAGTAAAGACCTTTGACGTCTTTGTTTGCGCGTCCTTGTGCCCTTTGGCGCGCACAGGCGTCGCGCAGACGGGGGTACTGAATGACGTCGCCGGCCGTGAGGAGAGCGGCGCCGAGGAGTGTGAGGAAGCACCTTTTGTCGAGACAACGGAGAGGGAGGGGGTGGGGGTGAGCGGCGCTGTTTCCTTCCTTCCCAGGCAAGAGAGAGAGAGAGGAGGAGAAGGGAAATAAGGGAAACAGACAAAACGCACAGGATGCAAGTTGACGCGCCGAGTAGGACGGCCATGCGCTTGTGGCTAGGCGCACATTTGAGGAGATGGCAAAGCAGGGCGACTTGAGGCAGCGAGAAGAGCAGGCATAGATAGAAGGGCACGATGAGCTGTAGCTGTTGTTGTTGTGTCGCGGGCGCGGGGGTAGGGGGTGGAGTCAGAAGGAAGGCCTCGTAAAAGAGACTCGCATAGCAGTCCCATCCCATCGCTCGAGGCGGCGCGCAAGAGACGCAAGCAAAGACGCAAAGAGGCCTCCCAGCAGACGCGCGCGCGCGCTCTCTCAAGACGTTGGAAGCAGAGGAGAGGAAGGGGGGACTGGAGACTACGCACCAGTTGTCCAGTGCCATCAATGCGGATATTAGTGGCGACGACATAGCTGAAGCCGCTGAGGAGGAGATTGATGGCGATGCCGCCCGCGGCAATGATGAGCGCGAGATGCAGCAGCGTCGCTAGCAGCAGCGCTGCTGCGCGCGAGCGAGAGAGAGAGACGCACGATGGCGAGCGCAGGTGCAGGCAGAGGTGCGGCGGATCGAGGCGAGAGGCGGGGCGGGCGCGGGCAGAGAGGCGCGATGGGCGCAAGGAGCGAAGAGCGAAGGAGGCGGCAGCGTGTCAGCACCTCTGACTCTGCCTACTCAGCACCAGCACCAGCACGCAGCAGCACGCAGTAACGCAGCGCACCCGCTCCTCGTCGCTCGTCCCTGCGCTCTGGCCGCCTCTCGCGCCTCTTCGCTTTGCACGCCCAGCTCTTCGCGCCCACCTGTCGCGCCCACGTGCTCCTGTCATGAGGCGCCACAGACGCAGCCGCAGACGCAGACGCAGCACGCGGTATGCGGCACGTGGCGCGTGGTACGCACTGAGTTTGAGCCCGCGGTACGGATCATGGAACGACATGTTGGCGGCTGATGGCTGATGGGCGGACGAGGCTTAGGTGGGGCCGTGGCTTGTGGGGTGCAGACGCGAGAGACGCGAGAGCGGAGAGCGGATGGCGCGCGTGCGTTGAGGAGCACCTTGGCTTCGTGCTTGATGCTAGAGAGAGAGAGAGAGAGGGGACGCGGGGTGGTGGTGGTGGTAGTGATGGTGGTGGTCGAGAGACAAGCAGCTCGCTGCTCGCGCTTGGACCTTGTCGCTGTGCTCGATGTGGCGATGCGCTCGTCGATCTGCCCCTCGGGGCGCTCGCCGGACTCCGGGCGGTGCCGGGGCCGTAAGCGCGGCGGTGCAGCGGCGGATGCCCCCTGAGCGCGCTGCAGCAGCTCACGCAGCTTCGGAGCTGAGGCGGCGCGGAGTTCCGCGGATCAGCTTGCACGCAGGACACCTTGAGACGCGAGAGAGCGCGGGGGAGAGACGCAGAGGGAGGAGAGGAGAGAAGGCAAGCGAGAGGAGGAGCACCGCGTGGGCTGCCTTTGCGTGGTGCGTGAGGCTGTGCTGTGGGAACGCGTGACGGATGCGGGGTACGCTCACGCCGCGGCCTGCTGGGTGCTGAGCGGCTGCTGCTGCGTCTGGCGTCCCGTGCGTGGTGGGCCGGCGGCTCGGGCGCCGCAAACAGGAGTGGCGGCGTGCCAGGAGAAGCGTTGGCGACAAGGCGCGGAATACATGCTTGAACAGCGCGACCGTGCCAACAGAGCGCAGAGCAGAGGCTGGGAGGCGTGGTGAGGAGGAGAGCTGTTGCGGGCTGTGAGGAGGAGCGCAGGAGAGGTGCAGCGTAGCGCGATGAGGAGGCAAGCAGGATAAAGAGTGGCGTCGTACAGCGATGAGCCAAACGCGCTGCGTCCTTACAGCAAGGCTGCAGTTGCGGGGCGTGAGGAGGAGCGCTGGCCTATGCGCAGCTAAGATTGGCGGCGTGCCAGAAGCAGGAGCAAGAAGGAGGGCCGGCTGTAAGGCAGTGCAGCAGCGAGCGGCGTGCGTACGGCAAGAGAGCGGCGGCATTGCAACGAGCAGCTGCCAGGCGTGAGGGCGAGCGCAAGGAGCAGCTGCTGCGTGGCGTGAGTAGGCTGTGCGAGCCGCTGTGGGGCAGGGGGAGGCTGCGCAAGGGCCGCCGCCGTCCAGGCACGCGCACACGGCGCGCTTGCCACCGCCCTCCCACGGAGCGCGCAACAGAGTCTACTTAGCTGCGTCTGGAGCTGTGCAGCGCGAGCGTGATGCTCTAGCGCGTGTGCCAGGCGCAGCGTGCGGCGGTGGTGGAGGCGGCCGGGAGGGGGGGGGGGGCGAGCGGGGTGAGATGGAGGCGGGAAGGAAGCGGCGGCGGCCGGCGTCCGTGCGTAAGTGCGACGCGTCGCGCGCGTGTTGGTCGCGCACGGGCACTGGAGCAGTGTGATTTTGGGGGCGCGCCGAGGCATACGCGCAGAGGATGCGCACACTGGCGAGGCGCCTGCCGGATCTCCGCGGCGCACCGCGCGTCGCTCCCACGGTCAAGCGGGCGCAGGGCCAGTCTCGCGCGCACCGGATGCCGCCGCCGCCGCGCCTGGGCCGAGCGGCTGCAGCTCGCGCGCCGCGCTCGTTTGCAATTCCTCCATCGCAGGCGCCGACGCAGCCCTCTGACCCATCACGCTGCTCACGGTCGCAAGGCATGTATGTCATTTCTCCCCTGCCGCGCCGTGCGGCGACGCTGGGTGGGCGCCGCCGGCTCCAGCGGCCTAGTGTCAGCGGCGCAGCAGCCTCAGCGCCGCGGCGGTCAGGCGGGGCCGGCGCCGCAGCGTGCAGCGATGAGAGCCTGGGTGCTGGCGCGCCGCACGCGGACGGCGCCGGGCGCGGCGTTGGGAAGCCCAAGGCGCCGGCTTGGTCCTCATTCCGCCGCCGCATGCTCCTACATAACCTCGTCCGTTGTGCCTCGCCCCGCTCCGCCTTCCTGTCCGTCGCAGCGCAGCAGCCGGACGGCGGCGCGCTCACGCCGCACTGACTGTGCAGAGCGCGCGGCCTGAGCGGTTGCTCTGCGCCGCTGCCTCTGCCGCCGCTCCGACCGCCGGCGCCTAGGCACACATGTGTGCCTTGGCGCTGAGCGTGAGCCGCCGCTTGCTGGCGCCGATGCCAGAGCGTGCAGCGCGCGGCCCGGCGGGCATGCACGTCGTGTGCGCTGCCGCAGCACGGCGTGCGCATACATCCTCTTCCTCCACCACAGCGCCGCTTGCTGCGGCTCTCTCGAAGCCAACCTCGCGCCGCAGCGGCGCATCCTGCGCAAGCGCGTTGCTCTCTCTCTCTTGCGCAAGCGGATCGCTCTCTCTCTCGCGCCTCTCTCTCTCCGTCTCAAGCAACGCGCCTGCCCTCTCGTTCCCCTTCGAGCGACGCGCTACTCACGTTGTCGTTCCCCTCAAGCGCCTGCCTCCCCTTGTTCCTCTCGCAACTTTCTTTCTCTCGAGCCCCTTGAGCGGGCGCAAGGTGCGGGCGCGAGGGCGGCGTCGAGGACGGCGTCAAGAACGTTGAGGTGCTGGGAGGCGAGGAGCAGCGCTGCAGCCTGCTTGCTTCGAGCCACGAGAGCGGGATGCCGCGCTGAGGAGCGGCGCCTTGGCCACAACGCTGTGCTTGTGCGATGGCGCGAGGCGAGGCGGGAGTGCAAGGACGGCGTCGAGGACGTCGAGGTGCGAGACCACAGACGACGAGAGCGGTGCGCTCGCGCGCGAGAGAGAGAGGCGAGGCAAGCCGCGACGGCCTCAAGCAAGCCAAAGTGCGAGTGCGCAGCGAGGCGCGGAGGAGCGGCGCTGAAGACGCCGGGGTGAGGCCTGCGCCTGCTGACGACAAGAGCGGTGCACTCGCGCAAGAGAGGGCGAGCCGAGATGCGTGGGAGAGGCGAGGTGCGACGGCGTCAAGGCAAGCGCTCGCCCGATGCGCTGGCTCGCTGGGTGCGGTGCCGAGGAGCGGCGCTGCAGGACGACGCCGAGGTGCCCGCTGACGACAAGAGCGGTGCGCTCGTGCGTGGGGCCGATGCGCTGCTGCGGCGCGAGGTGCAGCGCGGAGAAGCAGCACAGCCGGCTCGCTGTCGCCGTCGGCCACGAGGACGCCAAGAGCAAGAGCGGATGCGGCGTGAGTCGAGTTGGCGGCGACACTGTCGGGTTGTCGAGATGTCGGAGCGAGTGCAAGACCGCAAGTTGTCGGAGTGAGAGCGAGACTGTACGCGGCGCCGAGCGCCAGCCGTGCTTGCGCTGGAGGAGGGCGATGGCCAACAAGACAACTGTGATTGAGACGTGCGTGGCGACATGAGGGACGGTGGTGGTCGGAGCGAGGAAGCACCGCCGCCGCCGCCAGCGCAGCACAACTCGCCCGTCCCACGCCGTCGCAGCACGTGGCGGCTGCTTGGCGCTCGCTTCGACACGCGAGGCGCCCCGCCGCCGGCCAACGCGTCGCAGCCCATGACGTGGCCCTCGAGATGGTTGCCCTGGTCTCAATACTGATGCTATGGATGCGCCGAGCTGTGGAGCACTGCTTCGGGATGTGCTGGGAATTTTGAGCACAAACACTAAGACGTAGCTCATCTGTAGCCGCGTGCCTAGGCGATCCAGAAGTGACGCGCGCGGGCCTCGCGACGCGTTGCGACCCTCTGCCGCGGCTCTGGCAACTTGCTCAATAATGCTTCGATCCTGGATCTTAGGGTTAGGGTTAGGGTTAGGGTTAGGGTTAGGGTTAGGGTTAGGGTTAGGGTTAGGGTTAGGGTTAGGGTTAGGGTTAGGGTTAGGGTTAGG